GTTGTTCAGATCTTACACATTTCTGGTTGCTTTTTCTATCATCTACTGGGAGGCATTAAGGTCTCTGCTATGATTATGGATTTGTCTGTTCCTCCTTTTAGTTCTGTAAATTTTTGTTTCATTTATTATGAGGTTATTATTGGGTATGTACAAGTTTATGATTGTGCTATCTTTATGTTTGATACCCTTATCACCATGTGATAGTCCTTTTATCTGTAGTAATGATTCTTACCTTAAATTCTACTTTCTCTGATATTAGCAGAGTCTATCAGTTTTCTTTTATGAGTATACCAGTGTTGATTAGGTCAAGCGCATATCCACCGAATAGAAGTCATGAATGCGGGCATCCTTATCTTGTTCCTGATCTTAGAGGAAAATCTTTCAGTCTTTCACCATTGTGTTGGATGTTCTCTGGGTTTTCATATATAGCATTTATTATATTGAGGTAGTTTCCTCCATGCTTTCCTGGTTTTTGTTGTTTTTTTCTGTTTTTTCTTATGCCTTGTGATTTTTGTTATTGAGTGCTGGACATTTGAATCTAATAAGGTGGTAACTCTGGAAATCAGATTTTTGCCCTTCCCTAGCATTTGCTGTTTTTTTAATCTTTGCTTTTGTTTTTTGTTGTTGTTATTGTAGGCTCTCTCTGTGCGAAGGGTCAGCCTGAGATTTAGACTTGAGGTCTTCTCAGGTCTTTTCTGTGTGCATTCTAGACATAACGTGGTTACTGTCTATTTTTACCTGTGTATGCAGTTGTTTGTGTTTGAAGAAGATTAGCCCTGAGCTAACACCTGCCAATCCTCCTCTTTTTGCTGAGAAAGACTGGCCCTGAGCTAACATCCATGCCCATCTTCCTCTACTTTATACGTGGGACACCTACCACAATATGGCTTGCCAAGCGGTGCCGTGTCTGCACCCGGGATCCGAACCGGTGAACCCCGGGCTGCTGAAGCGGAATGTGCGCACTTAACTGCTGTGCCACTGGGCTGACCCTGCAATTTTTTTTTAATTTATTTTTGATTTTTTTTAACTTTTTATTAAGATTATGATAGTTAACAACCTTCTGAAATTTCAGTTGTGCATTATTGTTAGTCATGTTGTAGGTGCACCACTTCACCCTTTGTGCCCTCTCCCCACCCCCCCTTTCCCCTGAAATTGTTTTTTAATGTCCTAAACTTTAGTGTCTGGCTCCCAAAAGGGGAAAGAGAGAAAAATGAAGAGGAGTGAAATGGGCACAGACCCTTTAAATCCCCTGAAAGTCACTTCAGCAGGAGAGGTGGGGCTTGCAGCAATGAAGGGAGATGCAACAACAGTGGCTGCCTGCCTTTTTGTCTGTACCTTTGTGATCTGAATCAGCAATCAGCGATCAGAGCACCAGTCTCCAGTGTTTTTTGGACAGGGTTCTTTATGTCCACCCTGCCTCCTGTAAGCTGCTCCAGGAACATGTGCCAAGCTGCCTGCCACATGGCTGGGGATGGGGGATGGGTAGTTATTACAGTGCTCAAAGCTGAAATTGACTGAAATTAATCGCAATTAAAATTAAAAATCAGAAGTCTTCCCATGGAGGTTGCAAGCATTCAGTAGACTCCAGGATTCCAAAATAGTTACGTCAGACCGATTCTGTGAGTGCAGTTGATTTCTAGGTCTTCACAGATTCTTGGTGCTCTCTATCTGCCGTCTTTCCAGAATCCTCTCTTCCTCCTTAATTTTTGAAGGCTATTTTTACTGGTTATTGTATTCTAGATTGTCAGTTGTTTTCTTTTGTCCCTTAAACTATGTCATTCTGTTATATTCTTGGTTCTGTTTTTTTCTGTTGAGAAATCTCTCAGTCTTACTGTTTCTTTGAAGGTCAACCATATTTTTTTCTGTGTTGCTTTTATGAATTTTCTCTTCCTTTTTTAGTTTGATTATGATGTCTTAGGTATGGTTTTCTTTGAATATATTCCACTTGGAGTTGGCAGAATGTCTTGAATCTCTGGATTGATTTCTTTCATCAGTTTTGTAAAGCTCTGTCATTCTCTCTTTGAATGTTGCTTTTATCTCTTTCTCCTCTCATCTGGGACTTCAGTTATATGGATATTAGATATTTAAAGCATGTCTCACATTTCTCTTAAACCTCTCCTCCATCTTTCCCCTTCTCACTGTCTTCCCTTTCTTCTCTCTTCTACTCTTCTTTGTCTTCTTTCTCTACTTTTTTCTGTCAAGCTATAGTTGTGGTATTTTTTTTGACTTATCTTTTAATCCTATATCTGCTATGTCTAGTGTACTATAAAACAATGTCTTGAGTTCTTAATTTCACATGTTGTATTTATCAGTTCTAGAATGTCTATTGAATTATTATTTTTTTCTTTTTTTGCTTGAGGAAGATTAGCCCTGAGCTAACATCTGTGCCAGTTTTCCTCCACTTTATATGTGGGTCCATGTGTAGCACTGAACTCAAACACTACACCACAGGCCGGCCCCCTATTTAATTCTTTTTATAGGTCTTAATTCATTGGTGAAATTCTCCAACATTTATCAATTTTGTGCATTTTTCTCTCTATTTTCTTTTATATGTTAGAATTCTTTTAAATGATTGTCTTTGTATGTTAAGTCCATTACTGGATCATCTGTGGATCTGATTCTCTTGTCTAGTTTTCTCCTAATTATTGATCATATTTTTGTAACTTTGCATGTTTAGTAATTTTTTCTTGTGTGACAGGCTTTGTGTATGAAAGAACCTTAGAGGCTCCAGACAATGTTACCTTCCCAGTAGGGTTCCCATTTTTTTCTCTTGCTTAAATGAGTGAGGGGCTTATTGCCTCCAATTAATCCGAGATTGAGCTGCTTTAAAGCTGTGTTAAAGTTTAATAAAACTCAATTTTCCTATCATTTTCCATGTTGGATTTTTCTGTTTTGTTTTTTGTTTTTTTCTTAAATTGAGAGCCTCATGCGTATCTGTATTCTTAGCTCTGAGAGACTGTCAGAGACCTGGTTCTACAGGGGTTCCCAGTGTAGCTCTCAAGTTTGCCTGCCTGCACTGCTTCAAAATCTAGCAGTGTCTTGATTGTTCAGAATTCCCAAGGTACAAGAAGTGTCAGAGTCTCCTTGACATCAAGTGCCCCATTCTGAAGTGTTACCAGTTTCCTATGTATTTTTCCACAGATATCATTTTAGTCCTTTTCAAGTTATTTCCCCTGTTGCAGAAATTCTCATGAAATAAAAATTCTCATGTGATAGCCCAATATAAGAGATAAAAAGTCAGCTGTTATGGTTGGAGTAGGAGGTCCTGACACATCTTCAGTTTGAAAAACATTGGAGATTTTATAATGATAATGTAGTTTAACTCCAAGAGAATTTTATTGCAGTATTTTTTGTATTTAAAAATCCCCACATTTTAAATCCTCTCTGAAAGTTTGGTAGAATTCTCCAGGGAAGCTGTCTGGTCCTCAGCTTTTATTTTTTGGGATGCTTTTGATTACTTTTCAATCTCTTTACTTGTGATTGGTCTATTTGGATTATCTGTTTCGTCTTGATTCACCTTTGGGAGGTTATAAGAGTCTAAGAATTTATCCGTTTCCTATAGATTGTCCATTTTGTTGGCATGTAGCTTTTCATAGTATTCTCTTATAATCCATTGTGTTTCTGTGGTATCTGTTGTTATTTCTCCCTTTCATTTCTAATTCTATTTATCTGAACTTTCTCTCTTTTTTTTCTTTGTAAGTCTGGCTAGGGGTTTGTCAGTTTTGTTTATCTTCTCAAAGAACCAGCTCTTTGTTTCGTTGATCCTTTCTACTGCCTTTTTTGTTTCAATAGCATTTATTTCTGCTCGGATTTTGATTATTCTTCTCCTTCTGCTGACTTGGGCTTTGTTTGTTCTTCTTTTTCTAATTGAGTTAGGTGTAGTTTGGGATTGCTTATTTGGGCTTTTTCTTGTTTAAGGTGTGCCTGTATTGCGATGAATTTCCCTCTCATATGGCTTTTGCTGCATCCCGTATGAGTTGGCATGGTATGAAAAAGACCCCACATTTTTTCATGAACACTTTTTAAAATGTTAATTTTCTTTTGGTGTTTTAGATTCAACGTTGTGATACAGTTTTGAATCAAAGTGGTAGAATATAGTGTGATCAGCAACTACGTGATAACAGTTACTACTTTATGAGAAAGTATACTGTTAGCGATTTGAAAATGGTTCTCTCTGATCAAAAAGCTTTTATTATGGGGGCTGGCCCCATTGCCAAATGGTTAAAGTTCTGCATGCTCCACTCTGGGGGCCTGGGTTTGTGGATTTGGATCCTGGACCCAGACCTGCTCCACTCGTCAGCCATGCTGTGGAGGCATCTCACATACAGAATAGAGGAAGATTGGCACAGATGTTAGCCCAGGGCTAATCTTCCTTAAGCAAAGAAAGGAAGATTGGCAATGGATGTTAGCTCAGGGCAAATCTCTCCCACCAAAAAACAAAACAAAAAAACCTTTTATTATGTTTTTGTGCCCAAAATTCAAGTAATAGCATTTTCTGTGTTCTTTTTAAAAATGATAACATTTTCAGTTTTGTGAATCTTACCCAAAATGGTTTTGTAGCTGCTGATACTTATTATTTAAGCTTGGTTTTATACTGCAGATTAAAATTTTAATGATTGTTTGCACGTGTGTGTGTGTTCACTGTAATGTGTTTCAAAAGTTGGATTCATAGAATTTGGGGCTGGAAAGGACTTACTTTTATAGATTATTCAAGTGAGGCTCCAGAACATTTAAATAACCTAATCAAAGCCTTAGAATAATTAATGGCAAATTTGAAACTAAAACACAGACTTCCTGTCTCCAAATCTGTTTTTTTTAAATTAGGTTTGATAACAGTACACAAGTATATACTAGTTGTTATTGAAATTTTTTGAATCTCTATTTTTTAAATTAGATAAATTATATTATAAATGTCATCAGATTGTTTTTTCTCCTTTATATTAGATTCTTGAGAATAATTAGCTCAATATTTCACAGTTTTTCGTTTTCATTTTTTGTAGAGTTGAAAAATATTTGAGTCTCAACAAATGAATTCCACACTTGAACTGTGCTGCATTCCTGTGCCACCTCCTCCTTTAGAAAACTGATCTTAGAACAGAGGTAAAATTATAGAATTTAACTTTTTTAAAGGTAAAGAATGAGTTTCCCATACAGTTAGACATGTTAGAACTTTTGGTAATCTTTGGTGAGTAGCTTCTATTTATTAAGCAATTTTACTTAGGAGTCTTGAAATGACCATGTCTTAATTTTGCCTTTGATTTTTACTTTTGGGAGTGTTTCCTTTTTAATAGTTGTGTCTTTTAACCTTTTTGTTGCCTAAACTTTACAATTATTTTATTATCGAATTTATTCAGGATAATTGTATTATCTAGCTACATCTAGATCATTGCTGTCCAATAGAATTTCTCCAGTGGTGTCTGTGTTCTATATCTATGCTGTCCAGTATGGGAGACACCTAGTCACATGTGACTACTGAGCACTTGAAATGTGGCTAGTGCAACTAAGGAACTGAATCTTTAAATTTTATTTTATTTTAATTTAAGTAACCACACGTGGCTAGTGGCTACTATATTCTACAGTGCACCTCTAGGTTTTTCCTTAGGGAATTTAGTGTTTATAATAACAGCATGTCCTAGGTGCTTAAGTTTTATATTTCTGCCTTGAAATATCTTCATAGTTTTTTGCCTAGTTTGAAAATTTGCAGTAGCATAACTATTTTTTCCTATCTCATAGGTTGCCCTGATAATTGTATAGCTTTGTTTATCCAGTAATTTTGGTCCACTAGAAACCCATGAAAGTAGTTATCATAGTTAGTTTCGCTCATTGATGTGTTAACTTAGTTAATCTTTAAAAAAAAAATTGACATAGGTACTTCTATTATCCCCGTTTTATAAATGAGGGATTTGAGGCCACAGGTTGGTTAGGTAACTTTCCCAAGGACACATAGCTTGTAGGTCATGAAGCTGGAATTTGAACTCAGGCCGTCTGGAGCCAGAGCCCATACTCTTTAACCATTAGGCTGTGCTGCCTGTTATATTCTGATTCTCTACAAATTGACAATTCCTGAAAAAGATATATGCTCTCAACTAAGACACACTTTCTACCCACGTAGAATGGTGAGGTTATTGTGCTTGCACAAGTTCTCTGAGTTAGCTTCCTGGAGAATAGTTATTGACCTCCTTCAGATCATGTTCCAGCAGTTTATTATTTTGGTCATTATCTTTTAGTCAAAGCCTGCTAATAAAGGTTGTCATTACCATGGTCACCAAAAAGATAATCATTTTCTGTGATATCCTCTTTACTTTGTTAAATATACTCTGAAAGTGAGGTAGTATGGGCCTGAATCAAGCTGCATGCTAGAAAATATCATCTTGATTTTTGCTTTCAAGTAGAGTTTTTATATACCAGGTGATGGGATTGGTATAATATACAGTAGAAGAAATTATCTTCAGAATTCTATATTGTCTGCATAAATAAAAAGAAAACTCGCAGTGTGTTTATAACTGTGTTCATAGCTACCTCTAGATACTAAAAGATACTGAGTCTAGTTAGGAAGTAAATATTTACAAAATTGCTCTGTAACCAGTGCTATTCTATTTTTTAAATGAAGCTACTAAAATATATATTTATAGGATTTTAGATTTAGAAAGTAATTTATCATTGTAGAAAACTGAAACCCAAAGGGTTTAAGTGATTTGTCCAGGGTCACATAAGCAGTGTGGTTCATGATTCAACAAATAGGGTTATGTGTCACTTCACAATGGGAATATGTTCTGAGAAATGCTTCATTAAGCAATTTCATCATTGTGCGAACATCATAGAGTGCACTTACACAAACCTAGGTGGTATAGCCTACTGCACACCTAACCTAGATGGTATAGCCTGCTGCACACCTAACCTATATGGTGCTAGTCTCATGGGACTGTCATTGTGTATGCGGTTCATCGTTGACCAAAATGTCGTTATGCAGGGCCTGACGGTGTACACTGAGTACAAACCTAGATGGTATAGCCTACTGCACACCTAGCCTATATGGTGCTAGTCTCCTGGGACTGTCATTGTGTATGCGGTAGATGGTATAGCCTACTGCACACCTAGCCTATATGGTGCTAGTCTCCTGGGACTGTCATTGTGTATGCGGTAGATGGTATAGCCTACTGCACACCTAGCCTATATGGTGCTAGTCTCCTGGGACTGTCATTGTGTATGCGGTAGATGGTATAGCCTACTGCACACCTAGCCTATATGGTGCTAGTCTCCTGGGACTGTCATTGTGTATGCGGTAGATGGTATAGCCTACTGCACACCTAGCCTATATGGTGCTAGTCTCATGGGACTGTCATTGTGTATGCGGTAGATGGTATAGCCTACTGCACACCTAGCCTATATGGTGCTAGTCTCATGGGACTGTCATTGTGTATGCGGTTCATCATTGACCAAAATGTCGTTATGCAGGGCCTGACGGTATACACTGAGTACATACCATATGTCCAGATACAGTAGTATTCTTACTAGCTTTGAGTGCATACTGAGCACGCAAATGTGAGCAAAACAGGAATGGACCCTCCTCTCATGGAACTTAAACTCTGGTGGAGAAGATAGACTATCAATAAGTAATAAGGTCGAACAAACAAGGTAGAAAATCCAAAGCTCTAGGAAGGAAATGAACCATATTTGTTGGAATAGAAAATATTGGAGAAGGGAGAAAGGGCTGCTATTTAAATAAAGTGATCAAGAAAAGTCTGCTGAGACTACCATAATTGGGAAGAGCCAGGCATTTAAACATGAGGAGTAGGATAGCCTTCCAGGCTGGAACAGTCTACCCAGATGCCCTGGGGTGAAGGTGTGCACGAGGCTATAGAGAAACTGGAAGGAGAGGATGGCCAGGACATAGTAAGCTGTTGGAGGAGTAGCATGAGCTATACAAAAGGGGCTGGGTTACGTAGTGGCTTTTTCAACCATAGGTTTTAGAGTAGGCATTAACCTCAAATCCGAGTTCTGCCACTTAAACTGTGTTACCTGGTGTGGATCACTCAACCTCTTTACACTTTAATTTTTTTATCTAATAGATAGGACTAACAGAAGCTACTTTATGAAGTACATAGTATCATGAAGATTGTTTGTATACTTGTAGCAAACACTTATATAGTGTTTACCTTGAGGGAAGAACTCTTCTAAGCACACAATAACTCTATGAAGTAAGTACTGCTATTATCCCTCTGTTTGGAATGAGGCACAGAGGGTAAGTATAGCTAATAAGGGAGTAAGAGGGTTTAAACACAGCTACAGTAAATGACCTTAAACTTAGTTTGGCTCTGGAGTCCATGCTCAGAGTGTGTCATGGGAATTCTGGAAGTGGGTCTTTGGGGTCAAAACTATTTTTCATATTAATGCTAAGATAGTATTTGCCTTCTTCACTGTCATTCTCTGGTGACTATGCAATGAAGTTTTTCAGCAACAAGGTGAATGCAGAAGCAATTATGAGATTTGCAAAAAATGTAAAACAGTGCTACTCTTCTCACTAAATTTATTTTTGTTTTGAAAAATAAAGTTTTAATTTAAAAATGTTATTTATGTTGACATGTAATAGACTTATTATTTTTATAATGAATAGTGAACTTTTTAAATGTAGGAGTGAAAGGGGGTTCTGAGACAAAAAGTTGAGAGCTGCTGTTAGAAACCACTAGATTCTACTGCCTCTTAAATCAGAGAAAATCGAGAAAACAGCTGATACAGTGTTTGTACTTGATGGGCTCACTAATAACTTACTTTTCCCTCACTTTTAAGACACTTTCTTTTTTACATTTTAACATTTTTGAAGTCAGGATGTGTCTGTCCAAATAAACTTTTCAGCAGCCATGAAATAGCAGAAGTCATTGATATTTGGTATTTTGAGAATATATATTGATAATTAGTATCAATGAGTATTAGCACCACATGGGGTTGAACTTTTAAATGAATTTGCATTCCTAATTGTTGCTTAAAATGTCTACAAAATATTACAGTGTAAAACAGCTTTGCCGTGAACAATTGTCTCAGCAGAAGATTGCCCAATATGTGCCAGTTAATTCAAAGACAGCAAAATTGCCAAATCTGGGGCCGGTCCCCTGGCCAAGTGGTTAAGCTCATGCACTCCACTTCGGGCGCCCCATGGTTTCACCGGTTCAGATCCTGGGCGCAGCATGGCACTACTCATCAAGCCAGGCTGAGGTGACATCCCATATGCCACAACTAGAAGGACCCACAACTAAAAATATACAGCTGTGTACCAGGGGGCTTTGGGGAGAAAAAGGAAAAATAAAATCTTTAAAAAAAAAATTACTAAATCTCTCAGCATCTAACTTCAAACCTGGGTAAGACTGGTATGAATGATTCATGCGTCTTGGAAAATGTCTACCTGAAGAAAGTTTCTGGGTCACTTTTAAAGAAGCTATTAACTTCCATCTATGTTTAATTTTGAAAAATAAAATTATTAAACTTAAGTAGAAAATGCCGGCAGATGGGGCTGGCCCCGTGGCCGAGTGGTCAAGTTCGCGCACTCCGATGCAGGCGGCCCAGTGTTTCATCAGTTCGAATCCTGGGCACGGACATGGCACTGCTCATCAAGCCACGCTGAGGGGGCGTCCCACATGCCACAACTAGAAAGACCCACAACTAAGAATGTACAAGTATGTACTGGGGGGATTTGGGGAGAAAAAGGAAAAAAATAAAATCTTTAAAAAAAAATGCCAGCAGAAATCTCAGGTTTTGTTATAGCCAAAAATAAAACTGTCATTGCTAAAGGTGCTAAATAAATTGAGTTCATGAGCACAAGTAATTAAATCAACACGTGTTTGAGTGCCTGCTAAGTGCCCGGAGGTTGGGATACAGCACTTGTCCCTGTGAAGTACTGATTCTAGTGGGAAAGACAGACAATAGTAAGTAAACAAATAAACAGGATAATTACAGATTTTGCTGAATGCTATGAAGAAAATGGACAGAGTGATAAGGGTTGGAGGGAGGAGGAACTAGGGAGAGTCAGTTTAAGTAAACAGGAATGCTTCTCTGAGGAGGTGACATTTGAACTGAGTCTAGTACAGTCATAATCAGAGCGCCAAGTGGCTAGTATAAAGACCAAAGGAGGCCAGAAATGGAAACGATAATGTAAGATGATTATATGGATAAATTTATGCTCTTGTCCTTTAGTTAAACATCTTTTTTTTTGGTGAGGAAGATTGGTGCTAAGCTAACATGTGTTGCCAGTCTTCCTCTTTTTGCTTGAGGAAGATTGTCCCTGAGCTAACGTCTGTGGCAGTCTCCCTCTATTTTGTATGTGGGATGCTGCCACAGCATGGCTTGATGAGCGGTGTGTGGGTCCACGCCTGGGATCTGAACCCTCAAACCCTGGGCCACTGAGAAGCGGAACATGCAAACTTAACCACTGTGCCACCGGGCCAGCCCCAATTTGTAAATTTAATTCCCGTAAGGATGGAGTGTGGGAAAGAAACTTAACAATATAAGTCTTATATTCATCTGAAAGAAGGAAGCAGGCAATAATAATGAAATATTTTTAGGAAAAAGAATTAAGATAGGACTTGTACTGTTATATATTAAAGTGTATTATAAGGCCATGGTAATTAAAACATTGTAGTTCTGGTGCAAAATCAATGGGAAAAATAGCTCAGAAATGGTTCCAAATACAGAAAGACTTTTAGTAGATGATAAAAATAGCATTTCAAGTTAGGGAAAAAAAATGGATGTGCAAACAATGTATTTGAACAATTGAAAACTATGGAGAGAAAAACAGTGTTAGATCTTAATCTCATATCACATTCTAAAATAACTTCCAAATTGTTTAAAGAGCAAACTATAAAAGTAGTTTCTTTTTTTAACAAAAATATATGGATGATACTGCCTTTTTTTTTTTCTTTCTGGGAAAGATTTGCCCTGAGCTAACATCTGTTGCCAATCTTCCTCTTTTTTTTCTTTTCCTCCCCAAACCCCCAGTACATAGTTGTATATTCTAGTTTTAGATCCTTTTCATTCTATGTGAGCTGCTGCCACAGCATGGCTACCGACAGACAAGTCATGTGGTTCCTCCACCAGGAACCGAATACGGGCTGCCGAAGTGGAGCATGCTGAACTTTACCCACTAGGCCATCAAGGCTAGCTCTAAATGTGATTTTTAGCCTCAGAAGATTCAAGCCTTAACTAAGCAAGCAAAGTGACTTTTAAAGTAAAATATGTTGTGATATGTTTTTGTCATGTCCCTTTCAAATACATTATAGCATTCTGTGTATTAAATATTTAGTGTTTTGGCAGTAGATATTCACTCAAATGTGCTGATACCTATTTTTATTGTCCTAGTTTGAAAAGTCATATATGTCATAGTAATATATATAGGAAAACTGAAGTTTTTATATTTAAATTTATTTAGATTTCTGTGCTATTAGCTTTATAAATAGAGCAGGAATCCATCAAAAAATCAGTCTTGTTCAACTTTCTCCAGTTGTGTCATGCTCTTGTTAATTATTTGAATCAGAGTCCAAATAGGATTCATACTTTGGCTATTGATTTTTTTTTTAACATCTCTTTTAATCTGTAGGTTTCCCTGCTGTCTCTTTTTTCTCTTGCAATTTATTTCAATAAATCTGTCAGTATATCTTAAGTGCATTTGCTATTTGAAAACAAGGGGCATGTCTTACTCCTTTTTGTACTCCTTGCTTATGTAGTACTTGGTGTAGTGGATTATATAGGGATATTTAAAAATCCTTTTGGAATTGAGGGGAAAAATTAGAAAATCTGACTTCCTTTTTTTAGGTAGAAATTTAGTGTGAATTTTGACACACTCTTAGGAGATAGTCTTTTTTAATAAAAGAACTTTTAGTTACTTGGAAGACATTTCTCTTCCCCTCAAGAAGTTCTTTATTTCTTCTTGTTCTTACATTATAAGCTTTAAATTAAAAACCAAACCTTTTATTGTCTTTCTCACTTTAAAAATAATACATGCTTGGGGCCGGCCCGGTGGCGCAGCGGTGAAGTTTGCACGTTCCGCTTCTCGGCGGCCCGGGGTTCACTGGTTCGGATCCCGGGTGCGGACATGGCACTGCTTGGCAGCCATGCTGTGGTAGGCGTCCCACGTATAAACTAGAGGAAGATGGGCACGGATGTTAGCTCAGAGCCAGGCTTCCTCAGCAAAAAGAGGAGGACTGGCAGTAGTTAGCTGAGGGCTAATCTTCCTCCAAAACAAAAACAAAAACAAAAAATAATAATACATGCTTGTTATTATTTTTTTATAATTCAAAATGACATAATTATAATAATATAAATATCCTTATAAGTAATTCTTAGTGATCCTTCCCTCAGAGACAAACACTTAATAGTTTAGTGTGTATGTGCTTCCAGGCTCTTTTCACATTTTAAATAATTCTTTTAGTGGAATTATAGTTTGCATGCTATTGCATGCAATGTGTTTTTTACTTGGATGTTTTTCCATTTTAGAAGACGTAGAAATCTACCTTCTTCCAATGCCTTATTTTGTATAATATATATACGTTTATAATCTGTTTTCTGAATATATGACCCTTGATTTCTAGTTGTTGTCTTTGTCATTTATAATCTGTCACATGATTTGCTCTAAAATGTGTTACTTGTTCCAGCTGTATATCTGGTAAAGCTCAGGCATAGTGTGTGTGTTTGTCTTGGGTAACGAACGTACAGTTTGATTTTGCTCTGTAAACTTATTTTTGCCTCTTTGAAGTATAGTTGTTTGGGAAAATATAAAGGCATTAGGAAATAGGTTTCAAATGTATTATTAAAAAATAGAACTTATTGGGGCTGGCCCGCTGGTGCAGCGGTTAAGTGTGCATGTTCTGCTTCGGCGGCCTGGGGTTCCCCGGTTAGGATCCCGGGTGTGGACATGGCACTGCTTGGCACACCATGCTGTGGTAGGCATCCCACATATAAAGTAGAGGAAGATGGGCACGATGTTAGCTCAGGGCCAGTCTTCCTCAGCAAAAAGAGGAGGATTGGCAGCAGTTAGCTCAGGGCTAATCTTCCTCAAAAAAAAAAAAAGAACTTATTTTTTAAAAACAATTTTGTTTTAATTGCATTCTAGACAAAAAGAAAGCCTCCCTATCTAAAATATATACTAGATGAGTTTCTCTTTTAGGGAAAGGCACACATCATTTTCCTTTGGTAGTTTCTGTAAGTAATACCGTCGTCAAGTTCAGTGCTTTTTTCCTTTCAGAGATAAAAGAGGAATAGAAGGTAGAAGAAGATGCTGGGATCAGAACGTGGTGTTGTAGAAGAATGGTTATCAGAATTCAAGGTAAATTCGACTGGAGATAAGAATGTGTCATTTGATTCTATGTGTCAGTAATTCAAACAGTGAGTATGTGTTCTGTGGAGAAACTGAAACAAATGTTATGATATGAAGTGGAAATCACAAAATCTGAAATAACATGTTTCTATAATTGCAACTCTTTAAAAAGGCGCTAATGTAAATAAGGGCTAGAAGATATATAAATATGAAAATAGTTAAGATTGATGAGAGGGTATGTAAATTTTAAAATGTATTGAATAAGAAGGGAAGCCTCCAAGCTTTAGTAAGGCACAGACATAGAATTGTGCCTTATGTTTTTATTTGCTGTAATTAAAAACCACTTACTGATTTGATTGAAAACTATATGATTTATTAACACTATAGAAATTAATGTTTTGTAAATGTAAAATGCAAGAATTAAAATATATCCTACACTATTTTTTTAGACCAGATTAGTTTAAGGTAACCCATTTCAACAAATCTCAGTATAATGTGTGATTTCTAATCATTTTTCATGGCTGAGTAGTGAGAAGAATTGTGTTACCTCCTAACTTAATTCGTTTTATTAACTCTCATGGTTATTTCTTGTATTAATTCTTTGTACTTTTGTTAGCTGACTCAATTATAAATCTTTTCAGGAGGAACTCATGTAAAATAAAGTTCCTGACTTCCCAGATATGAAGTTCACTTTTGTCTTCCTTTGATCTTTCTTTCAGGCATTACCTGACACTCAGATCACCAATTATGCAGCAACTTTACACCGGAAAAAAACACTGGTACCAGCTCTCTATAAAGTTATTCAAGATTTGAATAATGAGGTAGGAGAGTTTAAAAGAAAAATAATTTCAACACACTAAAATGAACTATGTGTACTAAAACACATATTTGTGAAGTGTTGTAGTTTTTCCTCTTTTTTTTTTTTTTTTTTTTTGTTTGATCCTTATGGGACTGGAAAACTTTCTTTCTGCTGCTTCTCATTCTGGTAGTTGCTTTGGCTTTCCCCCTGCCCTCCTTCTCCGTATTTTTTAAATGTTTTGATCAAATTTGTTCCTGTCGAGGACAATATGTTTTGATTCTTGATTTTGAGTGACTTTCTTTATTTAATTTGGACTTTTTCTCTGTTTCCTGTTCTGGAATGTTTCCTTTTCTGGAAGCCAAATTTTAACTATACACTGATTGAAATTTATTTATTTATTTTAAGTATTGTTTGAGTTATTTTACTGACAATATAGAACTATGTGTAATCACTCTAATGACTGAACTCAAACTAGTAACATGAAATGATGCTGCTAGTAAACTTAGCTTGAAAATGATCAGAGAAAGCACTTTTTGGTCTGAATAGTCAAGATCAGCAAACCTAGAGTAAGAGTTTCCGCACAACCAGGAGGACCTACGACTAGAATATACAGCTATGCACTGCGAGTCTTTGGGGAGAAGAAGAAGAAAACAAAAAGAAGATTGGTAACAGATGTTAGCTCAGATGCCAATCTTTAAAAAAAGAAAAAAGTTTCCTATTATTCAGCTTTGTCATAGAAGAAGGGAAAAATGTAGCTATTGAATCTATATGTTGATTTATGCAAAATACACACATCTTTCTGTTAACACAATAGTATGACACAGTTTTATCACCACTGGATTCATGTATGCTTTAAATGAAAATGAAAGGAACACACAGGAAAGTAGCTTCTTATCTTCCCAGATACAGCCTCCAAGAGTGCCTCTGCTGTGTACTGGAGTGAGTTTGAAGAAGTTCAGGTAATCATCTCCTAACCAGCAGCTTAACTTAAAATGCATCTCCATTTTTGTCCTATCACTAAAAGCTTGCTTACTGACGTCTTTCTTTCCTATCTCCTAAATTTGGATTGGCTCTCAGTCAGGCTTGCGTCTGTTGCTATTTGTAGCAGCAATTTCAGGATTCATTTGCTTCTTTTTCTCTTGCTGTGTATTTATGGATGTTTTATAACTTTAGGTGTGGTAATGTACATATATGCGTATCCTTCTTGGTCAGGAGTTTTCAAAATTCTGTTTGAATAATGAATGTGTGTGTTCCCTACTCCTTGTTTGGCATCATCTTAACATTTAAGCTTTGCTTATTAAGATTTATTTGTTTTATGCTTTCTCTTTAGATTGTAAGCTCTTCACGGGCGTTGGTCATATATTCTGTATTTGTTATTTCCCCAGAATCTAGTATTTTTGTCATATACGTAATGAACACTTAATAAATGTTGATTAGAAGAAGAATGAAATACAAAATGAGAATCTAAAATGCTATCATTTTCATTAGGACTCACAAGTGTGTAAAAGTATCAGTTTCATTTTTTCTTTTATACTTGGGAAGCTATGATATTAAAAAAAGTTATTCACATTACATTATATTGTCATACTTCATAATATTAACATGTGAGACTTCATAATGGCTAGAAATGGAAATCTTACAACTTGAGAGATTCAAGCTCAAGATCCAGCATTCATTATAATCAGCCAGGTGCCAGAGCAGGTCTGTCATTCCATCCTTTCTCCTGTCAGATCATAAATTTCTAACCATGTGTTCATGCTTCAGAAGAACAGAATGTTAAACTCTGTAGAGTCTCAAAGCTTGTCTGGACTTTAGTCCTAGAGGGAGGGCCCTTTCAGTCCTGATTTTATTATATTCTGAAACATAATCAAATGTATTATTTAGTTAACAAGAAAGTATTTCAGAAAATTTTCACATGCCATATATAATATTAATTGAAACTTATAACAATCTTACAAGCACTTTTGCTTTAAAGACTATAAAAGTTCTTAAAAAAGTATATTTTCTAGAAGTTTAATATTATGTATTATATCATGGCCAACCTGTATTACAGCTTAAGTTTTAATCTCTAGACGAACATATTACTTTATTGTTCTCCTTTCTCTCCTTCCAGATCCCATAGTAGTCACTCTAGCATTCTTTCACTTCAGGGAGACCTCCATCCAACCGATTAACCCCATCACTTTTGCATGATTTGGTTGCCTTGCCTCCTCCTCTCAAATGTCTCACTTTTCTCTTTCCCAGCCAAATTTTCGTCGTCTATCATTACAGTCATTCCCGTGCTAACATTCTTAGCTCTTTTGCCTCTCGTTCCCTTAGTTCATATTCTTTGGGCATAATCTCAATACTGGATAAAACCCAACCATTTCCTATACTTCATGCCTGTACCTGAGTGGCTGGACATACCTGGAGAAAACATAGTTTTGTTGGCTTTCTCCACTTTAAATGCAGGACTGAAAATCTCAGATGGATGTGTAATACTGCCTTGCAGTCTTGCTTTACTTCCTTGGTACACTGTCCCACTGTTCATTTTACACCTTCTCTTTCCTTATACTCTTACCCTCCTTCCTCCTCGTTGTCAACTTGCTTTCTTTGTCACTAAAAAAGAGGAAAAAATAGGGGGCTGACCCCGTGGCCAAGTGGTTAAAGTTCCATGCACTCCACTTTGGCAGCCCGGGTTTGGATCCCAGGTGTGGACCTCCTCCACTCATCAGCCATGCTGTGGAGGCATCCCACATACAAAGTGGAGGAAGATTGGCAACAGATGTTAGCTCAGGGCCAATCTTCCTCTCCAAAGACAAACAAACAAACAAAAATAGAGGGAAAAATAGATGGGAACTTCCTTGTTTTCCCATTCAAATCTACCACTCTACCAGCGTCTGTCTCTACCCACACTCTCCTGCTTTTGCTGCTGTTTGGTGGATGGAGTGTCCCAGGTTGTATCAAAGGCCTTCTCTTCCACATAGGCCTGGATCCCGTCTTCGCTAGCCTCCTCAAATGCCGCGTCTGCAGTTACCTCCTCTTTCCTCCATCATTGATTTCTTGCCTTCCCTGATGACTGGAATATGGAAAAGAACCATATTCTGCTTTTTAAAAAGCTTCTTTGGTTTGCCTTCTATTTTATCATCTACCCCATTTCTCTGTCCCTCTGCACAGAGGAACTTCATAAAGTATTGCTTATTTATAGCCTGCTTGTCCCCATTTCCTCACCTCACCTTCTCTCTTTAACCCACTCAAATTGGGCTTCAGTCTCCATTAGTCCACCCAAACTGCTTTCAGTGTGTTCATCAGAAAGCATGTCTCTTAGTAATTACTGTGTCAAAACTGGTTGCTAAATTTGGAAAAGGTGTCAGTTATTCTTAAGCTTTTTTTCTAACCAGAGAATAATGATTTTAACACCTTTTGATGTGGTGATAGTGCCCTTTAGGGGAGGTCAGAGTCATTTATGACACTGAGAAAGTGAGAATATGATGGCATAATACATATGCTTTGAATTAACAGATATTAACAGCACTGGCAAGTTTTTAAGTCTTTTTTTGCAGCGGTATCTGATTAAAAATTCTTGGATTGCCAGTCACTCCTCCTCCCCACTTTTAAAGAGAAACAGAGTTATAATTTTGGCAACTCTGTATATCCTTGCTATGCTTAAGTAGAATATACATGCCAGTGTACTTCTGGGTACTGAGGAAGGGAAATTCAAGTCTTTATAACATAACAAATCGTATTTGTACCATGGCCAGTAAAATTTAGAGAAGCAATTTTGGAGTTTTTTGCTAAAGAAGAAAGTAGATTTGAAACATGGATGTAGATTTTTAGTAAATAAATTTATGAGAGCAATAATCTTTAACTCCCCAAAAGAGCTAAATATTGTTGTCTACTTTAAAAAGATGCCAGCAGTTGACTATTTTTGAAAGTTTATTACTTCATTATTGACATTACATGAAATATACTATTTGTAATTAAACAGCCCTTACCTGCTACTCCACCTCCATTCTAGTATAAGAAATGTGATATAGTTGGAATATCAAGTTGGTGTCAGAAGACCTGACTTCTAAGGTTTTCCTCCACCACTAACTACTGTGACCTTGGGCAAATTGTCTGACTGGTTTAGACATCAGTGTAAGGGGAGAGTTGAGGTGTTTTTTAATTTTAAATACTATGATAATGATATCACAAAAAAAGTTTAGTAGTTACTGACTAGAGTGTGTGTGTGTGTGAATTTTTTAGTTTCAGAGTTCTTCCTTAAGAGCTAAGCTTGGGGCAGCCTCGGTGGCCTAGTGATTAAGTTCAGTGCGCTCCGCCTCGGCAGGCGGGGCCTGGTTCCTGAGTGCAGACCTACGTCTCTTATCTGTTAGTGGCCATGCTGTGGTGGCAGCTCACATACAAGAGAGGAAGATTGGAAGTGGATGTTGGCTCAGGGTGAATCTTCCTCAGCAAGAACAACAAAAAAAAAGCTAAGCTTAACTCATCTAAATGTATTAACTATACAGTGGGATTTGTTGACTTTAATTTGCAATTGTGAAAGTAGTGAGTTATTCTAGAGTGTTAGATTCTTATACACATATATAACTACATTCAAGCAGATTTCCAAATGTATATGCATTATTTCAATCATTCAGAATAGAGATAAGCATATAAATTACTGAATTATTCATGTTTTTGAAAGCTAATGTTAATTTAAATATTATTTTATAGTTTCCTGTCAGTGTTTTATCTGCATTTTAAAATCACAGCCAGTTTAGTGTAGTCTGCAGTTATTCCAACAAAACCATTCTAAATTGGCAGTACACGTTTTGGGAAAAGGGGGGAGGTTTATTTAAACTTCTCATTTTCTTCCGTTTGCAAGGTCCTGAAGCTCCTCATAAGTTATACTGTGTGAAAAATGAAAAATTATCCAATTAAACATTGAGAAAGCTATTTCTGTGTACTTTCCTCCTTTTCAAAATCTTTCAAATAAGTATGATTAGTGAAATTTGTTAATCTTAAAGCCTAAAAATAATCGTTTTGGTTTACGTGTGTACTTAAAATATTAGGTAGCATTTTGGATGTCCAAATATTATGTATTGCAAAATCCCTATCTTTTCTGAGTGATATATAATTTGTTTAAATCATAGTCTAAATCATATATTTAAAGTTTATTTCCAACAAGATGATTTGAAATTATTTTTTTCCAATAGAAACTTCTAAAAATGGAGGATAGTAAGGGTTGGTGAGAACAAAAAAGGAAACTCACTAAATATAAATGTAGTCCATTGGTTGAAGATCTAATTATCTAATAAATTTAATGGTGCAGTGTATTGAAAGATATGTTGATATTGTATGGGCACAAAGTACTTCTTACAGTTAATGGATTAGTCAGTTTAATATGTTTGGTTACATTGGTTCAAAATATGCAAAAATTAATATTGAGAATTTATTTAAAAAATACTACACGAGTATATGTGCCTTTAAAAGAATACAGTTACACCAAAAGAATGGAAATGATTAATGCACTTTATTTTCCTTTTAGCTCCTGGAGCCTGTCTGCCACCAGCTATTTGAGCTCTATCGTAGCTCTGAAGTTCGACTTAAGAGGTTCACACTGCAGTTCTTGCCGGAATTGATGTGGGTTTATTTACGGCTTACAGTTAGCCGAGACAGACAGAGTAATGGTTGCATTGAAGCACTCCTTTTAGGAATTTATAATTTGGTAAGTTGAAGATGATAGTTTTGGAAATTTTAAGTTCTTTTTGTGTGTGTGTGAGGAAGATTGGCCCTGAGCTAACCACTGTGGTGGTCTTCCCCTATTTTGTATATGGGATGCTGCCACAGCATGGCTGGTGAGCAGCATGTAGATCCAAGCTCAGGATCTAAACCTGCAAACCCTGGGCCACCAAAGCGGAGCATGAGAGCTTAACTGCTATGCTACTGGGGCAGCCCCAAGTACTTTTTAAAGTCCTCTGAGAGGGGCTGGCCTGGTGGCGTGGCAGTTAAGTTCGCACGTTCTGCTTCTCGGCGGCCCGGGGTTTCACCGGTTTGGATCCCGGGTGTGGACGTGGCACTGCTTGGCAAAGCCATGCTGTGGCAGGCGTCCCACAGATAAAGTAGAGGAAGATGGGCATGGACGTTACCTCAGGGCCAGTCTTCCTCAGCAAAAAGAGGAAGATTGGCAGTAGTTAGCTCAGGGCTAATCTTCCTCAAAAAAAAAAAAAATAAAGTCCTCTGAGAGCCAGTCCTGGTGGCCTGTGGTTAAGTTCAGCACACTCCACTCTGGCAGGTCAGGTTCAGTTCCTGGGCACAGAACCACACTACTCGTCTGTCCATAGTGATGCTGTGGCAGTGGCTCATAGAAAAACTAGAAGGACTTACAACTAGAATATGCAACTAAGTACTGGGGCTTTGGGGAGCAAAAAAAAAAGAAAAGGAAGATAACACATTTTATAAAGTAGTTGAAACTATTATAATTGATAGCATTGCTACTATTTCATGACTTATTTCTTCAAATTATTTGACCAATATTTATCAGTGCCTTGCATTTAAAATTTATTTTTTGATAATATATTTGTATTTGGTACTTTTTTTTCTTTAAAGATTTTGTTTTTCCTATTTCTCCCAAAGACCCCTGGTACATAGTTGTATAATTTTAGCTGTGGGTCCTTCTAGTTGTGGCATGTGGGATGCCGCCTCAGCATGGCTTGATGAGTGGTGCCATGTCCACACCCAGGAATCGAACTGGTGAAACCCTGGGCTGCCAAATCAGAGCCCGTGAACTTAACCACTTGGCCACAGGGCCAGCCTGTGTTTGGTACTATATTGTTTATGAAACTCTTTTCTTCTAAGGAATTCTTGAGTACCTTCAACGTTATTCTGGTTTTTTTCTCATGGTGCCCAGTTTAAGACATTGGTATTGAAATTCCTGCCTTCTGAAATCTTATATTCTGTGTATTCAGTTCTCATCCTAATAAAGTTAAGTTTATACTCCACCTAAATAAAGTTTTGTAGTTGAGAGGTGATAAAGTACCTCACAAAACATTGAGTCTCAGAAAAGTAAATATTCTTCTGCACCAGTGCTCTTTCCTCTATTGTCCCTTAAAAAATAATTAGAAAACATTTCCATCACTAGAACACGTATCTGAAGGAAGGAGCATGGCCTTTGAAATCACTTGTATTTTGTTTAAAACCAGGCCCTGCCACTTACTGGCTGTTTTAAATATAGGCAAGCTACTTAATATCTTGACTTCAGTTGCCTCATCTGGAAAACAGAAATAAAACATTGTTATTAGGATTAAAACCAATTAGAAGAATCCAGCATGTTGCTTGAGGTGTTTAATAAATGTGTATCATTATTATTATTAATAGTAGTAGTATTATCATCATTAAAGATTAGTTTTTTTAAATGAAAAGCTGGTCTAGGTATAAGATTCTCTACTTTGCAAACTTGCCTGATTGTTTTTTCTTTTAAAGCAGAACATTTGTTTCATATATCACTGTCTCCTCTAGTGCTTAGCACATCTACTTAGTAAATGTTTGCTGATTTAATAATTGAATTTAGTGTTTCATATTATGTTTAACATTAAGCTGTCATTTTTGTTAATTAGTGTAATAAAATTTAGTAGCCTGGTGGCGCAGCGGTTAAGTTCGCACGTTCCGCTTTGGCGGCCCAGGGTTCGCCGGTTCGGATCCTGGGTGCGGACATGGCACCGCTTGGCAAGCTGTGCTGTGGTAGGTGTCCCACGTATAGAATAGAGGAAGATGGGCACGGATGTTAGCTCAGGGCTAATCTTCCTCAAAAAAAAAAAAAAAATTCAGTGGGACAAATGAAGCAAACATGTTTTGTGTAGCAGAATGCTTGACAAGTTCTTGACAGTATTTGTTGGTGCTATGGTTTAATCATCTTTTGATATCTCAAAAATAGTGCCTAACCACTATTAAACCACTAAAAAGCCCTATAAAAAATGCTCGATTATATGTGAGAAATATAACCTTAGGCTTCTGTCTTTGACTTCCCTTGACACTTGTGTCCTTTCTTCTCTGTGGTTCTCAATTTTTCTTACCAACACGGGGTTTTTTTCATAGATTCATTTCTCTTCTTTTTTCTTTCCCTCCCCAGCACTTCTCTGTTCCTTAAAATAGCTCCAGGGAGAGTTTTCCATTGCCCTCAGCTTAAAGAAATTTCAGAACAGCCTTCTCCACAGATACACACAGAGATAAATCAGAACTAGGTGGGAGAGTTTTATATTGCCCTTAGCTTAAAGAAATTTCAGGAACGCTCTTCTCCACAGATACACACAAATATAAATCAAAAGTATTTGGCTTAATTTGAAATTTAGGAATAAAAATTAAAATTTTTGCTTAAGTCAGGTCCATACATCTTAGCATAGACTTTCTCTGAGACACAATGGCCCAGATGTAGTGGTGACTAGTTTGACTACAAAGTAGTTTAAAAAAAACTCTAGGGACTTTTTAAACCCATTTTTCTGCCAAAATAGAGGTATAGCCATTGTTCACATATAATTGAAACTCTCCTGTGACATAGTAAACTCAGAAAGGAGCCCTAGAGAGAAGTTCTTTTGGGTTTGCGTTTTGGTAACAATAGTTGGCTTTGTTTTTGTTTCTTCCTTTTATGCTGTGTGACTACCCAAGTCTCTCTCTGACCACCTTCCTTCTAGGTCTGCTAAGGGCAGTCTTCTCTCTATGGATCTTGTAGTTAGTCATGTGTTATTATATGAGTTGTAAAAGAAATATAGAGTAAAATAAGGCACTAGAGAAAAGGAATGATACAGAAGGAACATTTCACCCCTTTCATTGCTGGCTTCTGTAGGCAGATTTTTTTTTTTAATTTGGTGGGTATAAAATGGCATCTCATTGTCATCTAAACTTGCATTTTCCTCCTTACTCATGAGCTGGAGCCTATTTATGGACCACTGGTCTTTTGCCTATTTTTCTTTCTTTCTTTCTTTTTTACTTTTTATTAAGATTATGATCGTTTACAACCGTGTGAAATTTCAGTTGTACATTATTGTTGGTCAGTCGTGTTGTAGGTGCACCCCTTCACCCTTTGTGCCCACCCCCCACCCCCTTTCCCCTGGTAACCACTAATCTGTTCTCTTTGTCTACATGTTTAACTTCCACATATGAGTGGAGTCATACAGAGATTGTCTTTCTCTATCTGGTGTATTTCACTTAACATAATACTCTCAAGGTCCATCCATGTTGTTGTGAATGGGACGATTTTACCCTTTTTATGGCTGAGTAATATTCCATTATATATGTATACACCATATCTTCTTTATCCAATCATCAGTTGATGGGCATTTAGGTTGCTTCCACTGTAGGCAGATTTTTATTGATACCTGTAGAAGATAGGAGCTATCAGAGACTGTAGAAATGAAGACACTGTTATCGGTGTGTTGGGCTCTTGTTGTCCCCCAGCATAGAAGTCAAGAGAGACAACAAACTGGAGTAGAGAAGTAAAAGTTTATTGGCTTGTGCATGGAAGAGGCACAAGGGAGCTGGTGCAGAAAGGAAAACAGCAGGTGACCGGCCTGTTAGGGAGCAGGATTGTGGGGCTTTTATTAGGCAAAGGCTGGGGAGGAGTGCCTTTTCACAGCATATAGGGGTGGAGTTGTGCTTGCTCCTGTGCCGTCACTACTACATGTGATGCATGTATTGTTAGCATGCCAGCTCTCCACCTGGGGGTGTGATTTTTAGTATGGTAATGGGGCTAGGGTCACCTTCAGACAACTCCTGGGTCCTGGGGTACATGCATAAGCCGGGGAGAGTCCCAGGGCTGCAGAATGTGGATCTTGATGGTCTCTATCTCATTCTCCCGGCTTGCGGATTGGTTTTGCGGATCGGTTAGGGACCTTATCTTGTTAGGCCAGGGGCCTTGCAGGTGGCCCTGTCTGCTTTGGCTGGTTCCTATCTCAATACTGTTGTTCTTTTCAAGGAAAGATAAAGTGCTTTTAAAAATCACAAGAATTGTCTTGCAGTTCAATAAAAATTACCTAAATATGAACTTACTTTTAATCACTTAGACTAATGTTAATTATGTTAATATGTAGCTTATCAGGTCATCAGTTTATTGTTGAATAATTATAAGTCTCTTTTAGTCAAGAATGATGTGTTTTTCTTATTTTAATGTGTGTGGATCTCTTGGCTACGACCTTTAATCTGTTTAACTCAGCCATGTTTCTACTGAAAAAGATCTAATCACTTGTAATCTTCCTGTCCTGTTTGTAAATTTAACGTGAAAATTGATTTATGTGCCTGCTTCATGTCTTTGCTGTCATGTTGTATTTGATGTAATGTCGTATTGTGCTCAATCAATATCACAGTATCACCTAAATGTACAAATTTGCTAATAGGTTAGAAAAGATACACTAGGGTAGTAATATTTTTTTACATATTAGTATTTCTAAAAATCTTCCTTAGTTGCCAATGATATATTTGGTAAATGAAGAAAGTAATTATTTCTTATAATGCAGTCCTGTGAATATTTCATTATCTTTGTATATTTTTTAACTACAGGAAATTGCTGATAAAGATGGAAACAATAAAGTTCTATCTTTTACTATCCCTTCCTTATCCAAGCCCTCAATATACCATGAGGTAAGTAAGATTGGAAAGGTGGAATTATTTAAAATTATATTGAATAAGAGATAAAAGTCAGTTTCTTACCAGAGATAAACAGTCCCAACGTGTCTTTACTGATTTGCATCTTAAAAGTAGATGTGTATTATTAGCAATATAAATCTGAGCTGTTGTCAAGAGAGGCAGAAGGTAGTTAATGGAAAGTTTTCCTCTGGTTCTTGTTTGTTTCTTTTTAATCCTTCCACTAATATAATTTTCAGTCTTTTTTATTAGACTTTTATCAATTTTCAAAAATATTCTTCAATTTTCTTAAATCTTTGCCTGTTAATTAGAAGTCATCTGTGTTAGATTAATTTGTTTTAATTGTTTTTAGGAAATTGACTACTTAGAAGAATAGTAACACTAATTATTTCTGTTTAGAGGAACCTAATTGATGCATTCCAGCTGTTCAGTAACATTACACTTCTGATTTTTGCTTATATTTATTTGAAGAATGTGAGAACACTGGTAATCACATAGGCAGATGATTCCTGTTGAGCTGAACTCATGCTGTCTGCTCTATTTAAGGGTATATCTTAGGAATCAAGCTTCTGGTCTGTAGTGGCTTTACTGCATAAAGTTGTCAGGAAAGCAATTAAAGAAACTTTACCAGTAGTCTAAAAATCATATTCCATTTTCTTATCAACAAACAGTATCCTGTTGTCTCACAGCTCTATGTAGCTATTGATTTTCTTAATTAATTCCCCTGGGACTTTGTTTTGTGTTGGAAATAGAATGCCTCCTATTTAGCCAGGACTCATGTTTAGCCAGCACAGATATTTCTGAGTAATAGAATTTAGTTCAGTTCTATGTGTCATGTTATGAAATAAAATAGAGGCTAGTGAGACATTTGTGAATGGATGGCTCTTCTAACTTTAGAGAGAAGAAATCAATTATGTCATTAAAAGACATTTGATCATAGTCTTCAGTATTGTTTGTGTTGTATAATTATAACTCTCTATGCCTTGCTTTCTTCATTGTAGAATGGGATTAATAAGAGGACCTACCTACCTGAAGTTAGACAAACTGCCAAGTTTGAATGCACAGTTGCCAAGACTGCTCTGTGTTCTGGAACACAAACAGATTAAAATTGATGTATTTGTAACCTTTAGTCTTTTCAGCAACTTTTCTTATTCTGTAACCTAAATATAGACTTATTCCATAGTCTTTCAAAAAATAAAGCAGTATATTTTTAGTTCTATATATTATATATAATTTCCAAAGAGAGTTGTAAAACGTATATAATTGAAAAATGGGAAAGGTTTTGAAAGAGAAGAAGAAATAGTCTGAAACTGCCTTTTGTTGAAACAAACTTAAATATCCTTTCATGATAGAGATTTTTAGTTCATTTTAGAGGTGCAGTCAGTCTCATACTTTACCTTATCTTTGTAGCCGTCGACAATTGGATCCATGGCTTTGACCGAAGGGGCATTGTGTCAGCATGATCTCATCAGAGTTGTTTATAGTGATCTTCATCCTCAGAGGGAAACATTCACTGCACAAAACCGGTAATGGTCAAAACTGTAGACAGTAATAATTATTAATTTGTGCTTAACAGTCAACTATAGTTACTTTCACTTAAGTTTGGTATGAGAGGAGGCAAAAAGTTAAATATGTCATACTAGTGAAATACATCATACAGTGAAATACCCATCCATCTAATGGTTGGTACTATGTATGTTGTGGTCATCTTGTATAATAAAGCAATGTAAAAACTAGAAGTGTGGGCATGAAGTCAGCCAAACCAGGGTTTGTGCGCTAGCACTACACCTTAGAAGCTTACCCTCTCAGGCAGTTTATCTACTCTGTGCTCCTTGCTTTCTTCATTGTAGAATGGGTTAGTGAGAGTACCTGCCTACCTGAAGTTAGGCAAACTGCAAAGTTTGGACGCACAGTCCTTAAGACTACCTTCACTTTTGACACCAACTGCAGGTTTGGGGGGTTCCCATAATCACTCTTAGGTTTAGTAACTCACTGGCAGGACTCATAGAACTCATTGAACGAAAGCTGTTATATTCACACTTATTGTTTATTACAAGGAAAGGGCACAGATTAAAATCAGCTAAAAATAGAAATGCATGGGGTAGAGTCTGGGAGGGTTACAAATACAAAGCTTCCGTTGTCCTTGCCCCTGGAATCAGGATGCATTACACTCCCAGCATCACTGTGTGACAGTATGCATAGCATCAGGCTCAGGTGAGCATCAGTGTCCAGAGTTTTTATTGGGCTCCATTAGGTAGGCATGATTGATTAGATTGATTGTTCGCAAGGTTGATCTCAGCCTCCAGGTTGATTGATACTGTGACCCAAACCACAACTGTAAATCACATTGGTTCTTTCTGGTGTGGCCAGCCCCCAGCAAAGAATGTTGTATGTCACCACTTCCTCCCTGAGATCTGTTGTCACCAGTCCCCATCCCAAACAAAGACACTCCTATCAGATATGACATAGGTTACTTCTTAGCGGTGGGGAAGAGGCTAGACCCTTTTGGGCAAGGCCAAATTCTTTACTACACAGGCCATCCCCTGACCTTTGGCCAAGGATCTTTTAAACAAAAACAATCTTGTTTATCTGGGCATCTACTTTAGTATAGCATTTATATGACAGACACAGATGGCAATATGGTCATTGTGAATACGCCTAACATTTGAGTAGCCAGTGTAAGTTAGGGATATATTTGAAGAAACAACTAATTTGTTCTATAAAACTGCTACATACATTTACATATTTTTGTACCAATTTTTGATTATTCTTTCCCATTCTACCCCCATCTGCTGCTATTTGTACCTTACGATAAACTTGAGGAACTGTTTATCATAGAAATTAGCTGATGAGTAGCTAAATTCAGTTCTTCCTTCAGGCCAGTAATTTTCCATTAGTATTCATCATAAGGAGCCTTTAACTCAATTTACTAATACATTTGACTATCAGTATTAGTATTATAACCTTACCAACAGTGCCAGCATTACACTGTATCACGGAATGGCAGTAGATGTAACCTGAAAAATAAGAGTCAAAGATCCTAGCATATTACCAGAGTCTCACTTAGTCATTAACTGTTATTCCAGTTCGTCATCATAGATCTCGCCAGTGTGTCCCAGAACAATGCCACTCAAGTTTGCAGGCTTCCATTTGATTTTATCAGGTTCTAAAAGCAGGAGTGGTCTCACCAACATATGGCTTCACTCTTTCAGGAATCTGATATAATTGAGCCAAGAGACAATATTAGCTCTTGCTCTGAACCTTTCTCAAGGTAGCAGTGTAGTATTGAATTTCCCTCATTGCATAATCCATTTATTGATTCCCTTATCTCAGCTACCATTCCTCCCTCTCTCCATTTGTCCCCAAACTTTTCTACCTTTCGAAGGGACATTAGGTTGAGCCATTGTGCTGGTCTGGATTGCTGGCAGCAATACCAGTCTAGCATGTGCCTCTGCTACTCTTCTCCCATCCATATAGGGTAAGTTTACTCAAGCACAGAACTAGTGGGCTATCTCACCACTGGGCAATATGTCTGCATTCTCTTTCAACCCCAGTTTTACTGGATGGAGTGAAGGCACAACCCACCCCGTTGGGCCCTTAGGAATTCTGACATAATGGTTAAAAGATATAGTTACAGCTTCTTGCTTAGGAAGGTCTCTGCTTCTGACATCTGCAGTCACAGTGCTGGTCCTCAGACCACTGCTTTAGGTAGGAAAAAAAAAGTTGAGGTGATTTGGGGAAGAAAGTTATACGACCATCTTACCCCCATGGGAAGAGTTGCGTAGTCATACCACCATTGTCCCCTCCACTCATCTCTTTCCAAACCCCCAGAAAAGCAGAAGAATCTATCTAGTGGTGACCCTCCCTTGGTCTCCCTTTTGTTGAGTGCGAGTACTCAACATAGTAAGCTCATGAAGGCATTTAAGCCAACCCTTCGTGCTTTATCCCTCCCCGTACCGTCCCCATTTTAGGTAACAGATGTTTCACTTGTTTGTTCCACTTCTCTATCAAACCATTACCCTGAGGATATCTCCTTACCCATTGTTAGGCTTTATGGGCTGTAAAGTGTGTTCCTTGCTCTGAAGAAATGTGACTCAGTAATCCAAATAGGTGCAATATCTTATATTCTGGTCCCTTTGTAGTACTATGAACATTTGATCTGCCATCAGGTAAGCAAAGCTCAGTGCAGAGTAAGTGTCTATTCCTGTCAGGACCCATTTGTAGCCCTCGGGGCTACTGACATCAGTCCACTGTCAACTGTGTGCAGGCCTTTATTCCAGGGGAATCCTCCCTATGGCCATCTGCAGTCTGTCTCTGTTGTTGGTAGAACATTTCTTACTGGCATTTTGTGTCTCGCAGGTTACAAAAGGAATATGTCTAAATTCAGCCCATCTCTGCATTGCCACAGTACTGCCATGTCGACTATTTCACGGACCCAGAGGGCCACCTTAAGCAAGCACACTGGAATATCTACTCATTGAAACCAATCACCTTCCAACTCTGGAAGGGGTTTCTCCTGATGGACATAGACATATCCTACTTTAATGCACTCTTCAAATTCCCATAGTGATTTCCATAGGGCTGTTCCCTATACAGACACTTCTTTAAATAGGCCAGTTTTCTGTGGTTCTCCTGCCTGATCATATGGCCAGGCCATTGGCCACAGCCCATGAGTTGGTAAAAACCCAAACATAGTGCCAAACAGCATGCAATTAAGTCCACTCACCAAGGTGATTTGTTTTTACCTTCTTCAGTCAGAGTGGCAGCCTTCCAAACAGGATGTAGTCTATGCATGTTAGAACTGCCATCCATAAACCAAGCAGCTATTTGTTGGTCATTAGAGAGCACTTCATAGGATAGTGTCCAGGTGATGATAGAATCTGGCAGCCTGGCACATGGTGCCAAAGTTGGCCCTACGGAAAAAGAGGCTCCCTGCTTATGAGTACTCTGAGTATCTCTTTGCATTCCCCTAGTAGCATATTCCTGCACAAACCGTTTCCACTTTATGTTGGAACTCTTCTGGCACTGCCCATGTTTTTCTGACATCACCCAAGATATGGGAATTTTAGATTTCAGGATTATTTTGTTTCAGTCATAGGGGCAGTCTCAGTGCCTAATGGCAAGCTAGTTGTCTCTCAAATGGAAATTTCCTGGTCGCAAATCCCAGAAGACGTCACTAGGTGGCATCTACTGGGTTTTGCCATGAGCCTCAGTCTGTACTCCACACAGGGCTATTGTGCAGCAAATTAATGACCTTATAGGCTTGGCGATCTTACTGGTCCCCATTTAGCATGTCCAATTAATATTGGAGGAAGGGAGGATTTACATGCTTTCTATTTTACAATACTAGATAGGGGAGGTGTTCCCCAGGCAGACACAATGTCGTTCCCATAATATGTTCAGGTAAATGACACACGATCATTTCAAATAAAGTTCATCCAATTTATAATTTCAGTAAGTTAAGATGATGCCCAAAACATGCTTAGCATAGTGTCTGGCACATAATGTTAGTGATACTATTATTTGTTATGTAATATTTCATGTTCATAGTAAAATAGTACTCTTATCTTATTGGTTATAATATTAGAGTTATGTAGCAAACATAGGATCAAGTGAGTTTCCATAGTCATTGGCATTTTGATCAAGTGCTTCAATCTGGAATTCCAGTTCTCCTTATGGGTTTTTCCAATATTACACATATGGTAGAAAATGCAGTGGCTTCCCTTGTGTCCTAACACACTCTTGTGGAATTCAGCTCTAGTGATCATCTTTTGTTAGCCAGCAGGGTGCTGTGTAACACTTGGAGAAGGCCTTATCCCAACATGAAGTGACAACTTAATTTTTTTCTATACAGTTATGTTGGTTTACTCAAATCATTTCACAATATAAAATTTATGTTACAATAGTGGTTGATAAGTATAGTTTGCAGACTGGTTTGCATTAAAATAATCTGGTTACCAGGTTTCTTTTTTGTTTTCTACTTTTAATTTTTAAAGTATAACATTATATACATGTGGTAAATTTAAAATAGAACAGAGTATAAAGTGAAAATAGATGAAAGTACAAAGAACAAAGTATATGTGTCCTCTTCCCTCTAACCATTCATTTCTACTCTCATTAGTTAAAATGTTAGCAGTTTTTTATGTGTCGCTTCAGAAATTTTAGCGCATATAAAAGCACGTATTCAACCTTAAACACATGCAGGCCTATACACACTGAATTCACTTGCATATCTTGTTCTGCAACTTGCTTTTTTCATTTAAGAATAAATCTTGGGGGGCCAGCCCCATGGCCAAGTGGTTAAGTTTGCACGCTCCACTGCCGCCGCAGAGCTGCATAAAAATATACAACTATGTACTGGGGGGCTTTGGGGAGAAAAAGGAAAAATAAAATCTTTAACCAGAAAACAAAAAACAGTTTTAAAAAAACAAGAATAAATCTTGGACATATTTCTCTAGTATCATATAGAAGTCTCCTTGTTCTTTTTTAACGATTACTTGTTATTCCATTCTGTGTATGTACCATCAGTTTTTGTTTTTAGAAGATTGGCACCTGAGCTAACAACTGTTGCCAATCTTTTTGTTTTCCCCTGCTTTTTCTCCCCAATTCCCCCCAGTACATAGTTGTATATTTCAGTTGTGGGTCCTTGTAGTTGTGGCATGTGGGATGCCACCTCAGCATGGGCTAATAAGTGGCACCATGTCCGCGCCCAGGGTCCGAACCGGCAAAATCCTGGGCCGCCGAAGTGGAGCGCGTGAACTTAACCACTCGGCCACGGGGCCGGCCCTGTACTATCAGTTTTTAACCAGTCTCATCTTGACTAAAATTTAGATTGTTTTCAACTTTTTGCTACTATAAACAATATTGGAAGGAACACAATATTTTTTTGTATATATATATATTTGCATGAGATCACCAAAGTATCAGTACGATAAATTTCTAGCAGGGAAATTGCTACGCTAAAGAATGTCTGCTTTTTTCAGTTTGAATAGATACTGCTAAATTACCCTCCCCAAAACAAGCGTACCAATTGAATGTCCTAGTAGTAGTCTGACATACTACTAGTCTGTAGTATGCCTATTAGTACCAGTGCCTGTTTCCTCATACTAACCCCCAATACTGGGTATTTTCAAATTTTTTAATCTTTGCCAGTCTGATCATTAAAAATTGATGTCATATTGTTTTACTTGGCATTCCTTTAATTATGACTGGGCCTGAATGCTTTTAATATGTTAATTCATTAATTATTTTTCTTGACCTGTAAACTGCATTTGCATGTCCTATATCCATTTTTCTTATTGAACTGTGTATTTTTTCTCTAGTGATTTTTAAGTATTGAGGAAACTGCACTGTTTTACACCTTGCACATTTTCAGTTAATTATTGACCTTTTAATTTATTTATTTTTTTAAAGATTTTATTTTTTCCTTTTTCTCCCCAAAGCCCCCCGGTACATAGTTGTATTTTCTTTGTTGTGGGTCCTTCTAGTTGGCGGCATGCGGGATGCCGCCTCAGCGTGGCTTGATGAGCAGTGCCATGTCCGCGCCCAGGATTCGAACCAACGAAACACTGGGCCACCTGCAGCAGAGCGCGCAAACTTAACCACTCAGCCACGGGGCCAGCCCCCTTTTAATTTATTTTTAATTGAGGTATAATTCACATCGTAAAATTCACCCCATTAAAGTGTACAATTCAGTGATTTTTGGTGTAGTCACAAGATTGTGCAACCATTACCACTATCTAAGTCCAGGGCATTTTCATTGCACCAGAAAGAAGCTCCCGTTTCTTCCCCTCCAGCCCCTGTCCACCAGGTATCTTACTTCTCTGTGATTTTGTTTCTTCTAGATGTTTCATATGAATGGAATTATGCAATATGTGGCCTTTTGTGGCTGGCTTCTTTTACTTAGCATGTTTTCAAGGTTCATTCATGTGGTGGTGTGTATCAGCCCTTCCTCATTTAAATGACTGAGTAATATTCCATTATATTGATAGATATTTTATTTATCCATTCATCAGTTGATGGACATTTGGGTTATTTCCACTTTTTTTGGCTGTTTATGAATAATACTGCTAGGAACATTTGTTTATGAGTTTTGTGTGAACATCTGTTTTCATTTCTTTTGGGTATGTATCTAGGAGTCGAATTGCTGGATCATATGGTAATTCAATGCTTAACTTTCTGAGGAACTGTCATACCATTTTCCAGATTGAGTGTACCATTTTGCATTCCCACCAGCTGTGTGTGATATGCCAGTTTCTCAACATCCTCACCAGTGCTTATTTTCCATCTTTTTGGTTCTAGCCACCTTGGTGGGTGTGAAGGGTGATATCTCATTGTGCTATTGGCTGTTGTTTTGTTTTTGCTGTATGTTTTAGTTTTTTGTACAGTCAACTGTGTCAGGAATATACACACACACAGACACACACACATATATATATTTTGAAAGTTAAACACGTATGCATTAGCTCTATACAGTTTATTAAGAAAAACTGCAATTTCCGGTTCCCTCCCCCCCTTCCATTTCTCCTTTCCCAGGTGTAATGACTTTTAACCAGTGGTTCTCAGCCGGGGCAGTTTTGCCTTGTGGGGAACATTTGCTAATGTCTGGAGACTTACTTGATTGTCACAACTGGGTGAGAGAGCAGGCTGCTACAGGCATCTCATGAGTAGAGGTCAGGGGTGCTGCTCAACATCTGCAGTGCCCGGGCTAGCCCCCACAACAGAATGCCAACAGTGCTGAAGTTGAGAAATCTTGCTTTAACTGACTCTCTCCACATCTTTGAGTAACTTGCTGCTTCTTAGTTTTTCAGTTTGGGGCATTATCTAATAACTTGTCTCTGTGAAAGATAAAGATTTAGCTTGTTACCTCTCTCATTCTCCTATCTTCTGAATGTAGTAATGTTGCAATTGTGGGAACTCGTTACTCAGATTTCTCATTATTATGATTGACTGTGGTTCATTTGGAGCTATTCAGTACTGGGCTTTGTGATTAACTGATTACTTGTCCTTCATACCTTTTTGTTTTCCTTGGAGTTCATAATTTTCCTTTTTTTTTTTCCTTTGTTTATTATGTGCTTTGTAATTCAACCCCTGCAAATTCTCTATCAGTTGTCTAAATCTCCTTTCAAGTCTTCATTCATATCCATTACTCTCTCAATTTCATCTTCCTGAAAAAGGAGCTCCTGGAGCCTTTGACTTACTCCAGTCTGGACTGTGTTGCCCTCTGTGGCTGGTGTACACTTATTATCTCAGGATCTCCTTTCACTCTCATCCTGGGAATTCCCTTTTCTTTTTCCTATGTGGATCTGTTTCCTCTGCCCTATATCCTCACTCTTTGTTCCTACTATTCTGAAATTCAACTGTGATATTTCTTGGTGTGGGTTTATTTCCTCCATTGTGCTGAGCACTAGGTAGACCCTTTTGGTTTGGAAACTCATGTCCTTCGAACTGGGAGATTTTCTTCAATAATTATTGTTAATTAATTGAGCTTCTCCATTTTATCTGGCCTTTTACCATCTGTCTTCTGGAGCTTTATTATTTGGATGTTGGAACTCCTGCAGTGGTCCTCTTTCCTCTCTCATTTGTCATATCTTTTTCCTTTTGCTTTACTTTCTGTGGTGTTTCCTCAACTTCAACCACCAATGCTTTTCTTGAGTTTTTAATTTCTGCAATGATATATCTAAAAGCTTTTCTTGTTTTCTGAATGGTTTTTCTTTTTCTTTTTCTTTTTTTTTTGTGGAGGAAGATTTGCCCTGAGCTAACATCTGTGCCAGTCTTCCTCCACTTTATATGTGGGTTGCTGCCACAGCATGGCTGACAAGTGGTGTAGGTCTGTGCCCGGGATCTGAATCCATGAACCTGGGCTGCTGAAGTGGAGTGCGCTGAACTTAACCACTATACCACAGGGCCGGCCCTCTGAATGGTCTTTTTAAATAGATCTTGTTTTTCTTTTTGTTTTTTTCAGAAACGTCTTCTCTCATATTTTTGAGAATAGTAATGATAATTTGCTTTATTGAAAGTTATTTTTTTTCTTTGTATATTCTCTGTTTCCTCCAAATTGTGCTTTTTTTTTTTCCTATATATTTTGATCTTGTTTTCATGTTAGTGGAGTTCCTCAGATGTCTGGTAATCCTTTTTTTCCCCCTTATATTTAAGAGCAGGAGAATGAAAAATTAGAAGCTCTTTCCATATTAGTAGGGCTAGTTGACTATGAACTTCACAATTTCTAACTGGATCATTCAGTTGGGGAACTTCCCAAGTCCAAATCTCTAAGTGTTTCCTCTTAGGGTGGTCAAATTCCTTAGAGAAAGCTCTTCTAGTCTCTTAACTAGAGAGCTGGCTCCTAGCCTGCTGGTGGCCAAGTCAGGAGGGAGAGTTTGAGGTCTCAATATCCAGTAAGACATATTTCATCTAACTTTCCTATTTTCCGTCTGGTATTTTCCCCCTCCTCCCTGCTGCCCCAAACCACGATTGTACCTGGTGGTTCCCAGGTGGGAATTTCTCTTTTATCCTTTCAGAAAATAAATCTTTAATTTCATAAAATAAATGTTCAATAAATGTAGTGTCATAGAGAAAGAGAAAGGATCTGAAGATGTACCTACCTCCAAGTCAGACTTTCAACTCAATTTTTAACTTCATTTTGAAATAATTTCAAACTTATAAAAAAGGTTTCAAAAATAGTACAAAGAGTTACCAAATACTCTTCATCACCTATGGGCAGCTTTTTAGAAATACAACTTCCCTGGGTCCTGCCCTCAGAGATTCTAATTGGGTCAATCTGGGTTGAGACACAGGAATATGGTTATTTCACAGTTTCCTTAAATAACTGTAATGTGCATCCAGACTTAGGAGCCACTTTCTTAGAGATTGTAAAGATTAGGAAAGCATTCATTTATTCATTCAGTAAAAATTTATTGAGCAATTATAATGTGTTGGACACTGTGCTGGACACTAGAGACAGAGAAGAATAAATCCGGGTTTCATCCTAAAGTTGCTTATTATTAAATAGGTAAAACAGAGGTAGAGTCAGAGAATTATGATTCAATGGGATAAATGCTGTATTAGAGCTACACAGATAAAGGGAACAATTTCCTTTATCTGGGAGAATTAAGAATGGCTTTATGTCCAAGGTAAAAATTTGAGCCAGGACTTGAAACCTTAGCAGGAGTTTCCCAAGTGAAAAAGTATGTTCTAGGAAGAAAGGACAGCATCCATAAAAGCAAAGAGTTATGAACGATTATGCATATTCAAGGGGTTGTAAGAAGATTGATGTAGTGTCAGGTATGTGGTAGGCAGTGGAGGAAAGTGAGGTTGGAGAGGTAGGTTGAGCGTGAATTTTAAAGGACTTAGTAGAAATAACTGTAATCCTTTTCCCTTGTTTTTGTTGTTTCTAGGTTCGAAGTCCTGAGTTTTCTCATGTTGTGTTATAATTCTGCTATTGTGTATATGCCTGCTTCATCTTACCAGTCTCTTTGTCGGATGGGCTCCAGGTGAGAAGAGTAATTATCATTAACCTTCACATTTATTCATTTGATGGATGTTTATTGAGCACGTTCTCAGTCGCAGGCACTGTTATAACTTCTGGTGGTACAGCAGTAAACAAAACGCAGGGAGCTTTCATTCTTGTTGGGCTCCTTATCATCCCGCATGCATCATGACCTTGAAAATACTTCAGCATTAAAGAAGTGTTTTCTAGCTGAACATCAAGTTAAGCCAAGATGTCTTAAGTTTAGGGTGGTTTAGTGATACACCTAATCACTGCCTGGATGCCAATTTTTATAAATCACTTTGAGAGCTTTGAATACATAGACCTATATGTGGAGAAAGTCTTAAGAAATGTGAACTTTTTTCTGTATATCTTTCACAAATAACTGTCTCTGCTTTGGATAAGATTAGCAATAACACCAATTATCTGTATGTCTCATTTGTATTTATGTGTTCAAATCTTTACTAAATCAGAACTTCTAATAATTTGGACAGACTTGAGCTAAAATTTAAATGTCCACTACAGAAAAAAAAGCTTAAGTAATATAAATTAGTTTGGAGACAGGACATTTAGCTTCACAGAATTTCCGTTACGGAAGGAACCCTGAGTTCATCCTGTCCAACTGATTTTTACTTGAGGAAACTAAGCCCCAAAAAGAAGTTAAATGTGTATTAGTTTTCTGTCGCCTCATAATATACCACGAAATTAGCAGCTTAAAATAGCACACATTTATTATTTCACAGTTTTGTGGGTCAGGAGTTTAGGCATGAGTTAGTTGAGTCCTCTGCTTAGGATCATAAAAAGCTGCAGTTAAGATGTTGGCGGAAGTTGCAGTCTTCCCTAAGGCCCGATTGAGGAATTATACACGTTTGTTGGCAGGATTCAGTTCCTGTAGTTGTAAGACTGAGGGCTTCAGTTTCTTGTTGGCTGTCTGCTGAAGGCCAGCCTCAGTTCCTTGCCACGTGGACCTCCCAACATAAGCAGCCTACAACATAGCCGTGGCAGCTTGCTTCTTCAAAGCAGAGAAGAGATGAGAGAGACTCCAGCAAGACCTGCGCTACAATCTTATGTACCATAGGCACATATTCTTGTACACGGACTCAGGGAGATCCTGTTACCTTTGCCCAGCCACACTCAAGAGGAAGGGATGACATGGGGCATGAGTACCAAGAAGGAGGGGTCATAAGGATCGTGGTCCCCCAAGGGTCTGTCCACCACGATGCTCTGCTCAAGTTCATGCTGTTGTTGGGTTACTGGGAATGGAATGTGGCCCTGTTTATAACAAAATTCAGTTTTCATAATTGGGGGAAGGCCAATCTTAAATTAGCTGTAAGTTTGATTTTATAGATTATCCCCTAAAGAATTTTAAGAAACTATGTGGCCATTGCACATTTAAAAATAGCCTCACAAACATCACTATTTTGAAATACTCCTTTGTTTGTTTTTGAGATTTCTGTATTTCCCACTAATTCATCCTGATGCAATTTGCAATGTGTGAAATTATGCATTTCTCTCGTGAAGAGGGAGAAGAATGATTATGAAAGAGATAGTTAGCTATTTGAGAAAAGTTGTTGCTTTATTGATATAGTCCTCTAGAATGTATGCTTTTTGAGGGCACAGATTTTATTATCTTTTTGCCTTTTCACAACTGTATGCCTAGGCCCAAGACAGTGACTGGCACATAGTCACTAATTAAGGAACGAATAAATATTTGAGGAATGAATGATTGAATAAATGAATTTATGAAAGTAAAAATATTTAATGAATTGGGAAATCACACATCATAAATCCTGTATTTTCCTAGGGTTTGTGTAAGTGGGTTTCCACGGCAACACGAAAAACACTGGAAAGAACTCTGTGGTCGAATAGTATTGGATCCCGAATTTATGGTGCAACTTCTCACAGGGGTTTATTATGCCATGTAAGTAGGTGGACTGTGAAATTGGGTAGACTCTTCCTAATGTTTGGAAATTTAATATTTCTCTTTTCTCCTTATCAGTTGCACAACACTGAATCTGTTGTTCCATGATGGACACATTATCTTGTTTTTCTAATATGAATTCCTTTTAATACTTCTTTTTAGATGAATAATACACTTTCTATTTGAAAGCAATATAATAACAAAGACAACTTTTTAATTGAGATATAATTGACATATAAGATTGTATTAGTTTTAGGTACACAGCATAATGATTAGATATATTTTATATTGTGAAATGATTACTACAATGAGTTTAGTTAACATTCATCACCTCACATAGCTACATATTTTTTTTTCTTGTGATGAGAACTTTTAAGATTTCTTCTTTTAGCAACTTTCAAATGTACAATACAGTATTATTAACTATAGTCACCACGCTAACTATAGTCCCAATACGCAGGACATTTTTCTCTTGTAACTGGAAGTTTGTACCCTTTGAACACGTTCAACCTTTTTGCCCACCCACACTGCCTATGGCAACCACCAGTCTGTTTTGTGTATCTGTGAGTTTGGTTTTTGTTTTTTTTTTTTTTAAATTTCTCATGTAAGTGAGATTATACCATATTTGGTTTTTTTTGTGTGTTTTTGTTTTTTTTTTGAGGAAGATTAGCCCTCAGCTAACTACTGCCAATCCTCCTCTTTTTGCTGAGGAAGACTGGCCCTGAGCTAACATCTACGCCCATCTTCCTCTACTTTATACATGGGACACCTACCACAGCATGGCTTTTGGCACGCAGTGCCATGTCCTCACCCGGGATCCGAACCAGCGAACCCCGGGCCACCAAGAAGCGGAACGTTCGAACTTAACTGCTCTGCCACTGGGCCGGCCCCAATACCATATTTGTTTTTCCCTGTCTGGCGTAATGCCCTCAAGGTCCATCCATGTTGTTGCAAATGGCAGGATTTCCTTCTCTTTTTAATAACTGAATAATATTCTGTTGTATATATATATACCATATTTTCTTTATCTATTCATCATCTGTCAGTGTATACTTAAGTTGTTTCCATGTCTTGACTATTGTAAGTAATGCTGTAATAAACATGAGGGTACAGATACCTTTTGAGATAGTGATTTCATTTCCTTCGGCTATATACCAGAAGTGGAATTGCTGGCTCATATGGTAGTTCTATTTTTAATTTTTTGAGGGTACTCCGTACTGTTTTCCATAGTGGCTACACCGAATTACATTCCCACCAGTAGTGTACAGGGTTTCCTTTTCTCCACATCCTCCCAACACTTGCTATTTCTTGTCTTTTTGATACTAGTCATTCTAACAGGTGTGAAATGGTATCTCATTGTGGTTTTGATTTGCATTTCCGTGATGATTAGTGCTGTTGAGCACCTTTTCATGTACCTGTTGGCCTTTTGTATGTATTCTTTGGGAAAAAGTCTATTTAGATCCTCTGCCCATTTTTAATTAGATTTTTTTTTTCTATTGACTTGTGTGAGTTCTTTATATATTTTGGATATTAACCCCTTATCAAATATGTGATTTGCAAATATTTTTTCCCATTCTTTAGGTTGCCTTTTCATTTTGTTGGTGGTTTCCTTTGCTGTGTGGAATCTTTTTAGTTTGATGTAGTTCCACTTGTTTATTTTGCTTTTGTTGCCTTTTCCTTTGGTGTCAAATCCAAAAAATCATTACCAAGACTGATGTCACGGAGCTTACCTCTTGTGTCTTCTTCTAAGAGTTTCATGGTTTCAGGTCTTAGGTTAAAATCTTTAGTCCATTTTGAGGTTTTTTTAAAATATGGTGTAAGATAAGTGGTCCAGTTTCATTCTTTTGCATGTGGTTGTGCAGTTTTCCCAGCACCATCTACTGAAGAGACTGTCTTTTCTCTATTGTATATTTTGACTCTTTTGTTGTAAATTAATTGACCACGTATGTGTGGGTTTATTTCTCAGCTGTCTATTCTGTTGCATTGATCTGTGTGTTTTTATGCCAATACCATACTGTTTTGATTACTATGGCTTTGTAATATGAGTTTGAAATCAGGAAATGCGATGCCTCCTGCTTTATTCTTCTTTCTCAAGATTGTTTTGGCTATTCAGGCAGGATCTTTTGTGGTTCCATACAAGTTTTAGGATTGTTTGTTTTATTTCTGTGAAAAATCTTATCAGAATTTTGATAGGAATTGCGTTGAATCTATAGATTGCTTTGGGTGGTATGGACATTTTAACAATATTAATTCTCCTAATCCATGAGCATGGAATATTTTTCCATTTATTTGTCTGTTCTTCAGTTTCTTTTATCAGTGTCTTTTATGAAAACTATAAGTGTACAGTGTACAGGTCCTTTACCTCCTTGGTCAAATTTATTCCTAGGTATTTTTTAGGCAATTGTAAATGGGATTGTTTTCTTAATTCTCTTTCTGGTAGTTCATTATTAGTGTACAGAAATGCAAAAGATTTTTGTGTATAGTCGTGCATCATTTAACAATGAGGATATGTTCTGAGAAATGTGTCATTAGGTGATTTTGTTGTGTGAATGTCATAGAGTGTACTTACACAAACCTAGATGGTATAGACTAAAAGCTATACTGTCATACGACTGGCAGTGCAGTAGGTTTGTTTACATCAGCATCACTACAAACACGTGAGTAATACATTGCACTACGATGTTATGACGGCTACATTGTCACTGATAGGAATTTTTCACCTCTATTATGGTCTTATGGGACCATATTGTATATGCAGTTTGTTGTTGACAAAAACATTGTTAGGTGGCACATGACTGTATTGATTTTGTATCCTGGAACTTTACTGAATTTGTTTATTAGTTCTAATAGTTTTTTGGTGGAGTCTTTAGGGTTTTTTATGTATAATATCATGTCATCTGCAAATAGAGACAGTTTTACCTCTTCATTTCTGATTTGGATGACTTTTATTTCTTTTTCTTGCCTAATTGCTCTGGTTAGAACTTCCATTACTGTGTTGAATAAAAGTGGTGAGAGTAGGCATCCTTGTCTTGTCCTGATCTTAGAGGAAAAGCTTTCAGTTTTTTCACCATTGAGTATGATGTTAGCTGTGGGTTTGTCATATATGGCCTTTATTATGTTAAGGTATGACCCCTCTGTACCCACTTTGCTGAGAGTTTTTATCATGAATGGATGTTGAATTTTGTCAAATGCTTTTTTTGCATGTCTTGAGATGATCATATGATTTTTATCCTTCATTTTGTTAATGTGGTATGACATTGATTGAATATCAGATGTTGAACCGTCCTTGCATCCCAAGGGTAAATCCCACTTGATCATGATGTGTGATCCTTTTACTGTATTGTTGAATTTGATTTGCTAATATTCTGTTGAGGATTTTTGTCTAATATCTCACAGGGATATTGACCTGTAATTTTCTTTTCTTGTAGTATCCTTGTTTGGTTTTGGTATCAGGGTAATTCTGGCTTTGTAAAATGAGTATGAAAGTGTTCCTTCATCTTCTTTTTGTCAGAAGAGTTTGAGAAGGGTTGATGTTAATTCTGCTTTAAACGTTTGGTAGAATTCACCTGTGAAGCCATGTGCTCCTAGACTTTTGTTTGTTGGGAGATTTTTGATTACTGATTAAATCTCCATGCTAGTAATTTGGTCTGTTCAGATTTTCTATTTCTTCATGATTCTATCTTGGTAGGTAGTATGTTTCTAGGAATTTATCCATTTCTTCTAGATTGTCCAATTTGCTGGTGTATAATTGTTCATCGTACTTTTAGTACTCCTAAAATAGCTGAAATGTAACATAACTAATCATTAAATTGGAGTCTAGAAATTGCCATGTTTTCCTTATGGAAAACTATGTCTCTTTACATAGTTAATAACCCAGGTTTTCATGAATACATTAAATAGATTACCCTAAATATCAATACGTGATAAAAACCAATTTGTATGAAGAGATATCTGTAAACTATTATAAATGTTAGTATTTTAAATCTTCATTTTGTTTTATAACCAAAAGTGGGATAGTTTAGAAATGAAATGATGCAAAATTTGATGTGAAAATTTTGTTTCAGAACCAAAACAGTAGGACTTGGAACAATAAAAAGGTTGTTGTTGAAGATTAGAAATATTTGCTGAAGATAGTAAACGATCTGCTTTTCCATAGGTATAATGGACAGTGGGACCTTGGCCAAGAAGTCCTTGATGACATCATTTATAGAGCTCAACTAGAGCTCTTTTCTCAACCACTGTTGGTAAGTTATTACATTTACTCTTTATTAAACATACCTGTGTGTTGGCCCTGTGGCCTGGTGGTTAAGTTCGGCGTGCTCCACTTTGGCGGCCTGGGTTCAGTTCCTGGGCCTGGACCTACACCGCTAGGCAGCAGCCATGCTGTGGCAGCACCCCACATACAAAACAGAGGAAGACTGGCACAGATGTTAGCTCAGGGTGAATCTTCCTCAGCAAAAAGAGCAAGATTGGCAGATGTTAGCTCAGGGTGAATCTTCCTCAGCAAAAAAATTAAAATTAAAATAAATTCATCTTTGGGGCCAGCGTGGTGGTGTAGTGGTTAAGTTTGTGCACTCCACTTCAGTGACCCAGGGGTCATGAGTTTGGATCCCAGGTATGGACCTACAAACTGCTTGTCAAGCCATGCTATGGCGCATCCCACGTACAAAGGGGAGGAGGATTGGCACAGATGTTAGCTCAGGGACAATCTTCCTCAAGCAAAAAGAGGAAGATTGGCAACAGATCTTATCTCAGGGCCAATCTTCCTCATCAAAAAACAAACAAACATACCAGTGCTTGAACAGGGCAGTAATGGGTAAAAAAAAAATTCAATATGTGATATATGAGGCAATCCAAATCATAGAGGGAAAAAGGTTTGTTCCACAATAACAATTGGTTAACTGTTGGAGAGAAGACAAATTGGTTTAGATCCTCTCCTTCTACCACATACCAAAATGGAGTTCAGATAAATTAAAGAATTAAATGGTTTAAAATCCTTTAAGAAAAGAAAGAGTTAGAAGTTATAAATATTTACTCAAATTTCTAGAGAAGGGAGGACTTTCTAAGCTTAAGTAATGGGACAAGTCACTAAAAAAGGTTGATCTTCTATTTTGACCACATAAACATCTAAATGTTAAACCATTAGTTTTTTAAAAACAAAATTAATATGCAGTGCACAAACTGAGAAAAATATTCTCAACAGTCATGACAAGAAAGCCCATTAATATTTTGTTCTATATAAAAAGATTTCATACTCTTCCACAAAATGAATACACAGTTATGCACCACATAACCACGTTTCAGTCAACAACAGATGGCATATACGACAGTGGTCCCATGAGGTTAGTACCATATAGCCTAGGTGTGTAGTAGGCTACACCATCTAGGTTTGTGTAAGTGCACTCTATGATGCTCACACAACAGTGAAATTGCCTGATGACGCATCTCAGAACATATCCCCGTTGTTAAGTGATGAATGACTATATCTCTGAAAGGTAAATGATCAATCCAAAAACAAACGTACATCTCCAGTAGTGGACTAAGGAAGGCATTCTCGACGTTACCAGTAGCAGTACAGCACAACTCTGAACATCCCTTGCAGAAGCAGTTTGGTAATGTGTGTTTGTTTTCTGTGACCCACTATCCCATGTGTAGCAACGTATCCTAGGAAACTACTTAAAATTCTTTTTAAGTGTATTATAAGCATAATGTTCGTGTTATTTTTAATTGCAAAGAAATCAAAATAATCTAAGTGTTCCACAACAGAGAATGATTAAGTTATAATGATGTTTCCTTGATGAGATTATATGTTTCAGATTTTATATTAAAGAAAAATGCTAGCTTGTGATAAGCAGTAAAACAGTATAGAACTATTTTTTTAATCTGGACAGGACAGAGGAAACATACAAAATGCTAATAGCTGTCTAGGTGATTTGACTGGTGGTTTGTATTTCTTTGCAATTTTCTATGTCTTCCAAGCTTTTCGTAGTATTTCTATAATGGCATTTTAAATATATGATTTATGTATTTTTTACTTGCCATACTTTGAGTACAATTTTTTAAAGGTATTTTATTCATATAAATTTTTATTATATTTTAAGCTAAATATATATTTATTGAGGTAGCATTTACAGTAATTCTTTGATACTTGAATTCTCTTTTTTTCCCTCATGTCAGCATCCCTAATTTTACCCTAAGGATTACATTAAAACAAATGGATAATAAGATTTTTTAAATTACATCAGAATAATAATACCTTGCGTTTGACTCTTTAAATTCATACTTTTATCCTTGTCTTATAAATTAAGTAGAGGTGGCATTTCCAAGGCAATATAGGTAAAGAGATTAGTAATCTATAGCCCTAGAATAATCTTTTATTGCTGGGGATCTCTGAGGAGCCCAATGAATAACACTTCTTTTCTCTATTCAAATCTAGAGCCAGGAGATAAATAGATAAAAATGGTTGGCAGGGAGAGAAACTAGCATTGTCTTTATTACTGGTAAAGGCTAAATTGAAAGACTTAACTCCCCACTCCTCAGTCTAGACCTTGGAACAGGCCTCTGGAGAGAAGGTTTGAGTTGGCAGAGCAGGCAGTTTATCTAGGTTGCTACATTCCACTTGTCCTTGTCCAAGTGGAGAGGGAGGGAGAAAGACAATCCTTGAGCTCAAATCTTTGCTAGATTAGCACTACCCAGTTAAGAAACAAAGACCAATCAATGGCAGTTACTCTCCAACCTAATATTTCACTCTCCTCTCTGGAGGGCAGAAAGTGCCAGATGTGTTTAGGGGAAATTTCTCCTTATGGAAACAAAGGAGTGAACAAAAGACTACTGATTTTTTTTTAATCAGAGATTAAATTTTGCGTGTTATTTAGCATGTGAAGAATTGGAAACTTAGTCTAAATTTTCTTACATCAGGGTTCAAATGTCAAATAATTTTTCTTTCTTTGGAATACTTTTTCTCTTTGAAAGTCAGCAACTTCAAAGAATCCATAGGAGGTGTAACTCACTTTTTTTTTTTTTTTTTACCCTGAGGAAGATTCGCCCTGAGCTAACATTTATGCCCATCTTCCTCAATTTTTTAATATGTGGGCTGCCAGCATAGCATGGCTGCTAACGGAGCAGTGTATTTCCGCACCTGGGAACCAAACCTGGGCTGCTGAAGCAGAGCACACTGAACTTAACCACTAGGCCACTGAGGCTGGCCTGTGACTCACATTTTTAAAAATAAATTCTCATTTAAAAAGCCTGCCTATTAGCATACAGGATAATGGAGATAGAAACATTTGTGACACATTGTACTTTTATAGTACAAGTTTTAAATACATATTCAAAAAGTTATGAAACTATGGGCTGGCCCCATGGCCAAGTTGTTAAGTTTACGTGCTCTGCTTTGGCGGCCCAGGGTTTCGCTGGTTCAGATCCTGGACATGGCACCGTTAATCAGGCCATGCTGAGGCAGTGTCCCACATAGCACAACCAGAGGCACTCACAACTAGAATATACAACTTTGTACTGGGGGGCTTTGGGGAAAAGAAGAAAAAAAAATTATGGAAATATGTAGAATAAGCATAAATTGCATATTAGGTGTAAATATGTACAGACTTACATTATCATTTTAGGTTGCCAATGCCATGAAAAACTCATTACCATTTGATGCTCCGGATTCTTCACAAGAAGGCCAGAAAGTCCTTAAAGTGGAAGTCACTCCAACAGTGCCGAGGATTTCTCGGACTGCAATTACAACAGCTTCAATCCGTCGCCATAGATGGAGGAGAGAAGGTGAGTACAAAACCCTTATAGCTCATTCATGGATTCAAGTAAATTTATTACTGTTTTTATAGACTATATTAACACATGATATTATACTACTCTGTATAATTAAAGTAAAATTGTTTAGATTTTTATAAATAGCACTAGAAATGTGGTTTAAATGCCTGAATGTATTTTATTATAAATATATGTATTTTTTATATAGTAGAAAGATGTTATTGATTGCTCTATGAATGTTAAAATGGAAAATAAAATCAAGTTAATTTCTGTCTTTTTTCGAACTAGTAATAACAATAGGAAAGAAATTTCTTTAAGCCTGTTACCATGCTGGGAACAAAAGGTGCATGTATGAGCATTGTGGGAGAAAATTATATAAATGGCCAAACTAATGGTATAATACAAGCTATATATAAAAGAATTGAGTATTCTAAAATTTTTATCTTTGCTTTTCCTTTTTTTCTAAGTGCTGAATCCAACAGTATTTCATAGGCATATGGTACTTGAATAGTCAGGCTGTCTTGCCTAAGAGATTAATTGCCATTTTGATGATCCTGATTTTTCTGTCCTATTCATTTGCAAACCTCACATTGTTCATCTGCCGCCTTATGTGTGTGCATACTCTGCACACACATGTAACTATATAAATAGTGTTTGTGTTTATATCATATCCATATATACATTCTCTTATCTGCCTGGGTCAAAATGCTCACAAAAGAATAGAGCAGCACAAAAGCACTAAAATTTTATATGTTGAATCCCAGATGGCTTTGACTTCTCAAACGAGGCTGACTCGAGTATTCCTGGCTCCCCGATCCAACACGGCTCCACTGACCTAGGGATCAAACGTGTGCAAGAGGGGGAGGTGCTGGTGCGCAGGACCCCTGAGCACGGCTCACCGGAGCCCAACTCAGCAGCAGCCACAACAGAGGGTAGGACAGAGATGAGGAGGCAGAAGTCAGTGAGGCAGTTGCTGGAGAAGGATCCTGGCTCTCTATCCCCAAGCAGAACATCTTTCCATTCTAGTGTGTGTTACTACTACCCCAGGGTGTATTAGCTCCTCTTTGGAAAGCACACTCCCCTGTCCCCCGCCCCCAATATGCCTAGCACCAGGTCAGGTACAATCTTTAGTTACCATTTGTGCTGGCCTGGAGTCTGCATCCCTGTGTAATCAAAGAACAGCTTGGCATGGCTACTAACAAGGCGGAGGCCTGTCTCCAAAAGGTCTGCAAATGCTTGGGATTTTTCATTACTGAGCATGTTTATTCTAACAGTAGGAAAGGAAAAATGCACCCAACGGACATGAGCCTTATTAACTAATATGAATTGACTTTATTTATATATTAATTTATTCTTTACAAATATGTGAGGGGAGTTTTAAAACTTTGATACATTATTTTTGAGAAATTGGACTAAAATGGAGCTGGTTAAAGTATGTCTAATCCTCGGGTGGTCAATTAACAAGAATTTCTTGTCTCTTTGACAGAGTAAACTGGTATTGATTGTCTTTTTATAATCTTTGGGTCAAGTTGCCTGCATCTAACTAGTGAGCTGCTGACATCATTCCTCTATAAATGCACTGTCCTGGTGCACACTGCATTTTATCATCTATTGTAAATAATGATTGTCTTATCTAGCTCCCAAACAGAATTGAAATGTATTATCTGGAGGTCAAGAATCCTAGTAGATCTTTGTTTCTACAATGCTGGTCTCTTAGGATGAGAATTTTGTTTTACACTCCCCCTCTCCCCCATAAAAGAAGACCTCTCTCTGATAGGAAGGTATTCATTTGCTATTTTACATGTGATGCCATAGGAGTTGACTTTGTGAAAGAGGGAACTGTAGCTTAATAGTTTTTTCATTATTTAATGTATTGCTACTGTGGAACCTTTATACTAATTTATGAAATTTAGCAAGTATTTTTAAAATAGGTTACATATTTTTACTTATTGTAAAGACCAAACATACAGGAAGCAGTTACCTTCCACTAAGGGAAGTCTCTTGCTCTTTGGTGCATTAGAAATTTGAGCATGCTCAGTAAGACTCTAAATCTGCCCTCTGTTCCCTTGCCCATTTGCCCAGATTGACCTGACTTTGTTTAGCAGTGTTGCATGTGCATGATCTAGGGACCCAGAGAAGGTGGTGCTGTTTTACAGACATCCTTGTGTAAGTGGCTGTGAAAGATGCAGCTCTCTCTTTGTTCTTCCCATATCTCTTTGTTATCCCTGGGAGTCAGTTTTATCTTGCATAAAGGCATAAAAATAAGTATATGAACAGTTGTGGAACCCAGAGTTGGCCTAACTTGAACAATAGCCTGTTTCTCAACATTCTTGGTGACTAAATGAGCCACTTGGTGTGCACCTACTACCATTGTTAGAATGTTGGAGTATTTGTGCTAAATGTAATACTATGGTAACACTTGATGAAATTCTAGAAAATGTGGGGTTAGTGTGAAACATTTCTTCCATTCATTGAGTCATACACTTTGAAAAAAGAACCAAAATAGTTCCTTTTAAATATCCTATTAAATATTAAAATATCCTATTTAATATCTCCTATCACTGGTAAAAATTTCAGTGGGTGAGGGTGGGTTGTACCCATAAGGAAAGAGGAATGAGTTCCTTCAGTGTATTTGAAATTTCTCAGAAATTATTTTGCCTTTTAATTTAGATTAATTGTAGCTTTAAATCAATATTAGTAGAAGCTAAATTTATAAGGAGAGGCAGACATGAACAGAAAATTTCATTAAAAATCCTTTTTGGATGTCTCCTCTTTGGATCATGAATAGTATTATTATCACCCAGGGAGAAAATTAGATAGGAAAAAAGTAGTGAGACACAATTGCCTTTTTATTCCTTGAAATTTTTTAAAAGAAGGAAGGAAATTACCAAAACCCTGGAAAAGTTTGGTAATTCTGGGGGGCTGGCCCTGTGGCGTAGTGGTTCAGTTCACACGCTCCGTTTTGGCAGTCTGGATTCGCGAGTTCGAATCCTGGGTGTGGACCTACACCACTTGTCAGCCATGCTGTGGTGGCATCCCACGTACAAAGTAGAGGAAGAGTGGCACAGATATTGGCTCAGAGTGAATTTTCCTCAGGAAAAAAAAAAAAATGGGGCTGGTCCCATGGCCTAGTGGTTAAGTTTGTCACACTCCACTTTGGCGGCCTGGTTTCAGTTCCCAGGCACAGACCTACACCTGGTGGTGGCCATACTGTAGCAGTGACCCACATACAAAATAGAGGAAGATTGGCACAGATATTAGCTCAGGATGAATCTTCCTCAGCAAAAAACACTTGGTAATTCTGAAGTCTGCTGGAGCTTTTTGATTAACATTGATAATTGGCCTTTTTTAAAAAAAAAAACAATTTTCCAGTATGATGGTTTTTAATAGTTTTATAATTAAAATTATATTTATTATGTGTTGAAATTGAAGGAAGAATATGAGCCTATCACCTACCTTTATCCTGACTGTCAAGTAACGTTTTATTTGTAACTTTTAAAGCTGGATTTAAAATTATATGGAACTGAGGACAACACCTATAATGAAAGTATAGTCAGTGTTCCACTATACTTAAACAGCATTTCTTACTGTATAACTTGTATAACTTATCAGTGGATTCTCTTGCATGGTGACTTTTATGTTATCATCTTCTCTTTTGTGGCCATATTGCTTGGGCATCAGATCTGCATGTGGCAATATTCAGAAGCTAGCACTAAGTCTCTCAGTCTCCTTTCCTAATTATGTATGTCCCCAATGATACATTCTGTTCACTCCCAGTTTTATAGTACTGATATCAATTCTGAACCAATAACTATCTTTTCTTGGGCATTTTAGAGTTCTTTATACTAATCGTAAGTAAATTGCTAAGATGATATATGAATATAATTTAAAGTTTTTATTTTGAGATACATTGTATACTTTTCTTTTGAAGAAGAGGTTGAGAGAAATGGTGTCAGCTGTATTTTCATATGGCTTTGCATGATGATGAAAGGTTATTAAACTGCTGGATATAATAACAAGGTTCCTTTTGCTTTAAGGATAGCCTATTTCATTCTTCTTTTGAAGGAAGGAAATAACTAATCCATATGAGAAAATATGGCTAAGAAAATATTTTTATTTTTCCAGGAACTATGTTAAATAAAGATTGTGTTTAAATATTTCATATGTATTTTACTTAGGTAACCTGTTATCTCAAAATACTATTTGTTTAGAATTCTTTCCTAACATTTTACCTTAAGTATAATAGTGATATCTGTATGTAGATCCAGATTAAACTTTTTGCAGTCTGGTAAACATATTAATGAGGTAGCACACAACTATCAGGTTTTGAAAGAAGCAAACGTGTTACTTTCTAAAAGAATGTTGATCATACTTTCAGTAAGAGAATTGAGATTCCTAGAAACCCCCAACTAAATATATTGTGTATGCTTCTCCCCTTTTTACAGAATCCTAAGATAAGGGTTCTTGCATTAACTGCAGTTTCTGCATGAAACATAATGGGACACTATGGTATTTTATGACAATAATAAATCTTGATACTAAAAATCTAATATATTACAAAAATACATCATATAGAAAGAAGAAATCCTTCTTAAATATCCCTTCTGGTTCCCTACCCTTGCTCTCTGATAATTAAATATTTTCTTCACATTAATTGATCAAGAAAATATGGAAATCAGTGAGTAGATATGTCCATTTAGACAGCATACAATTATAAAGTTACTGGAAGCAATGTAGAGTTTTTTAGAGTTAGAAAATTTACTGTTTTCATGTTAAAGGTTTTAAAGCCATTTAGAAGCAGTTAGCTGTTGAATAAATATAAAATTTTATTGTAGTTAAAGAGGGTTTAGCTTGTAGGGATAAATGTGTTTTTGGCGTTATTCTGGGTGGCTGAAATTAGAAGGGGGTCTCTTTTGCACAGTCTGTTTTATGATGGGTAAGGAAGACAGAAGGAAAAAAATTTGTTTTTTAAAATAGATAGATATGGTCACCTCAAATTGACAAGGGTGTATTATAAAGATTTATGATAACAAAATGTTGTATTTTACCTAAAGTTGTTTTATGTGCCTAAATATTGATAGTATACTAAGTTTGTTTGTGGATAGTTTTACAAAAGCTGAACTAATGAAAGCTAAATGAACAGAATGAATAACACATTGGAATTCTGTGTAGATTAGGGTTTCTTCTCCTAAATTATTTATGAGAAATGTTGATAGCGAGGCCGTTGCCAACCTCTAGCAAAAATTACCCAAGAGAGAAGGTCAGTTGAGTTGTTATTCACAGCTGCCTCTTATTTAATTTAGCTATTGCTGAGTCTGTCTGATTTGTTTTTTAGGTGCTGAGGGTCTAAATGGAGGAGAGGAGTTGGTAAACCTGAATGATGCAGATGAAGGATTTTCATCGGGGGCTTCCCTCAGCAGTCAGCCAATTGGGACCAAACCATCCTCCTCTTCTCAGAGGGGAAGCTTAAGGAAAGTAGCAGCTGGGCGTTCAGCCAAGGATAAAGAAACAGCTTCTGTCATCAAATCCAGTGAGATCCCTCGAGATTCAGTAGTTCGCAGGCAGTATGTACAGCAACCACCCGATCTTAGTGTAGATTCAATTGAGCTGACACCGATGAAGAAACACCTGAGCCTGCCCGCTGGCTCGGTGGTGCCAAAAACCAATAGCTTAAGTCTAATCCGGACAGCCAGTGCTTCTTCAAGTAAATCATTTGACTATGTAAATGGCAGTCAAGCAAGTACCAGCATTGGGGTTGGCACTGAGGCAGTTACTAATTTAGCAGCTAACAGTGCTAATCGATATTCAACCATCAGTCTACAGGAGGACCGGCTAGGTCAAGCTGGAGAAGGTAAAGAGCTCCTCAGCCCAGGAGCTCCCTTAACCAAGCAGTCTCGATCCCCAAGTTTCAATATGCAGCTAATATCCCAGGTGTAGTTTGACATCCTTTCTCATCTTTCTGCTTACCTTGTAAACTGAACATTTCATTGTGCAAGAAGACACTTCATCCCACATTGTGAAAATATTGGTCATCATAATCAGATTTGATTTAGTTTAGGTATCTTCATACTGTATTTTGTATGGAAACAGCAATAAGGTTTTCTTTTCCCTCCTTCCTATATCATCTCTTCACCTATTCCTTGTAAATGTGTTTGTGAAGCAGTATAAAATGTTTGCATTTTCCATGCCTTCTCTTCTCCTTGGGTGATGTGCAATCTGTCGTAGGCTGATCGGTCCCATTTCAACACTGTGAGACTGAGGATACGTTAGAGGAAATGGTGTATATGATCCCTATGAAATGATTCTTTGGCTTTCTTTTAAAAAAACAAAAACGGGTTTGTTCTCATGATCTGTAGAACTATGAAGATTACTGGATCATATTTTTTTTCTCTTAACCAGGAGTGCCTCAGAGATTCTGCTATGACTTTGGACTTCTCTGAGTCTGTGCAATCATTTTCTTGAGAAGCGTGGGGAAAGGTGGTAGGCTGCTGCACTTTTCTATTGAAATAAGGGTGGCTCTTTTTCCCCCTGTCTCCTTTATCTCGAGGACACAAATGTTCAATTACTGAGGCATTTAAATCAAGTGGTGGCCACCTCCATCAGAGGGCAGGGCTCTAAGTTGATTGTGTAATTGATAATGCACTTTCTCGATGGCTCTGTAGTCATTATTAACATGTCTTCCCTCCTCCCCGCAAGGACATAAGGTCGTTTCTGTCCTTTAAGTTTGAACAACTAACAAATCAGAGAATCCAAGGGGCGTGTTCTATTTCCTAGGAATGAGTGACACTTTGGTGCTGGGGTTTTGTGGGCGGGAGGGGGCAGTTTTTGTTTATCTTGTATGGGATTGTGTGTGTGAGGGGAAGTTTTGATTGGTTTTTTTCTTTTCCTTTGTGAGCTGATGATGACTGAAGTAGAACAAGTACATCTTCAGGTAAAGAGAGGGATTTCTCAACCCACTTTCTGTGATGTCAGACTATTGGAGAAGCCCTTTCAGCTGCTTTCTAGATGTACCTAAATTCAGTCAGATATCTTGGATTAAGAAACCTGAAGTCCTGATAGATCATATACTCCAAGGAAATACATCAGGGACAGATAATTGGCTGAAAACACTGATGCTTCAATGTGACACATTTTTATAGAACATTTCTACCAGGGGGTACTGACTTGATTTCTCCTACAAGGACTACACTGCCTTTGTGTTTAATGTAATGCAATTGTGTACCTTATAATCATATATCTCCAAAAGTTTCTCATTTTTATAAAACTTTGGAATCATGCCAGTAAGCTAGATGTTGAATGTATGTAAGTAACATTTGGTAACTGAGCTAAGAGGCTACAAAAATGCATTATTGGTAAAAAATTTTTAGTTCTGATTTGATTGGATAAGATTTCATTATGACCTCTTCTGGGTCTCTGGCTCTACTGCTTGATTGAAGTAGAAGAGAATATATTGATTTTTGAAATCATTGTTATGACTTGAACTGCTATACATTATCCTTCCACAAAAGACATCAGAGCTATTAGTGCTTTGTACGTTGAGACATTTTTGTTTTATTATCGTGAAATAAAAATATACTGAATTTATAGAAAGCAAGTATTCTCCTAGTTAACAGTTTAAAATTTTCTCTCTCCAATAAAAATTACAATACATTTTGATAAATAAAATAACCAGAAAAATGCCTCTTTTTTTTCACACCTAAAAATCCTCTCCTCTTTTTTTTGATTGTAAGAGGTTTGTTTGTTTAGTGGACTTTCTGTTAGAATCTTTATAAAAACAATGAGTTGCTTGATTGAATTTGGTGATCTGTAACATTTTTCAGCTCATATGAAAATGGAAAACTAGAACCTGAACTAATATCTACAACATTGCCAAAGTCTGAGGTAAAGCTAAAAGTTGATAAATAGAGATTTATTGTTTTGTATATATGTGTGTGTGTATGTATGTATGTGTGTGTATATATATATGTATGGTATGTATATATCACAAAGACATATTTTAGATATCCCTTAGTTCTTTTAATTTAACTAAGGATGTCAGATAAATGAATTTAAAAAGCAGCCAAAATAAATGAGGTGTAAAGGTCTATAACATACTAAGGGAAACAGAGTTTCAGCTATGAGAGAAAAAGAGCATTGTACTTCCCAGGGAGTGAGATCTTGGCCATGGCTGGAGGTCAGTTTATGGCAGAAATACCTGGTTGATTTAGGAGGCTGAAGAGTTGTTTGTAATTTAACAAGTTGTGCATTTATTGACATGTAAAGATAGCATAATTTTATTTTAGTTAAAGCACAAAAAAAATACCAAATAATACCAAATTACAGCAAAAGCTGTAATAAATGTAATAAGATCTCCCTTTGGTTTGTTAGCAACCTTGTTACACCTGAAAAGTTGGTTTTGAAAAACTTTCACTTTAGAAGATTTCTTTTATCTGTATGTGTATATGTTTATATTTTGTACATATACATACCCATTAATGTTCCATGACTCTGTAACATTTGTGTTCTATTCTTTTAAGTGATATGATTTGGCCTCAATGAAGAAACATTTCATTTAGTTCAAACTTTGCATTCAGGGTCCTAGAACAGATTTCCTGTGCAAGATTTGGTTGAAATGGAATAAGTTTAGCAAACCTAAGTCATATTTTCCAAGAGATTTTTGATATTCATTTGCATTATTTATTGGCATATAATTTAAACTACTCTTCAGTTATACAACAGCTGTTACAAATATATCCCAGCAATATTCATACTTTATCCTTCAGCAGCCTTTTGTTTTATACTTCCTAACTTAGATTAAAAAAAAAGTCCTTCCATCTATGGAAAAGCTAGTTAGGGAGGAAATACTTGTTTTCTATAATAAAACAATTTGATTGGTGCCATCTTTGCCAGGTTGGATTAAGAAATACAAAGACATATCTGAAGGTTTGGGGAACTCTTCTCTGTGTCATTAATTTGAAATCATGTTACTAAAAAGCAAACTAAAATGTAAAGTGAAAAGCTAACTTAGAAGTAAGATTTTTAAATAGAAAAAATATTTTGAGAAGCTAGGGGGAATATTGTTGTACTTTGAAATCCTGACCTTTACCTCTACTCTCACCCTCCCGATTACTCCTCTGTGCCTATTTAATATAGAGTCAGGACTTTTGTGCTAGAAGAGACCCTAGAGATAATCTAGCTAGTCTCCCAACACCCACTCCCCCATATCCATCCTCAGGAAACTGAGGCTCAAAAAGGTTGTAAAGTGATCAAGGTCACATAACTAAGAAGCAGAGCCAGAATCAAACTCCTGTCTCCTTTCAAATGCATATTAACACCCCACTGCCTCCCTTTACTTCTACTGTGGTAGGTGTGGTATGTAACACACTCCATTTATGCAGTTTCTTTACAGTTCTGGTCTAGTAGTTGGTGAATACTGCACATTAAGAGAAGCATTAAATCCAGAAAAAATATAGAGTAATAAACATAGATGGGGAAGTGTTGGAAATGTAGGTATCTATACCACAGATGTAAGGATAGATATATTTTTCCTATTCTAATTTATGCCTTACTATTTTCTGCCACATAACAGTTGGATGCTGCCATTTTATAATTGATTATATTCTGGGGATTTATTTAGATGCAAAAATAAACCCAATGTAATGGCTTTGATCAGTGTTTCTAGCTATTTTAAAGTAATTTTTGAATCAGCCAACTTTCACAGTCACCTAGGTGGCAAGTTAATTGTGTTGCACAATGGAGTATCACAAAGTAGATTAAGTAAATTTGATTTCATTAATTTCTAATGTCGAAAGAGATTGAACCTTACTTGTGCTTAGAGCAGATAGATAAAAGCAATATTTCCTGATGTGACTGAAAAAGGTTCATAGTGTGAAACTTAGGATTCCATAATGGAATGGTGACCATGATGTCATTCAAAGTGTATATACCATATAAAATGTCTTAAACCCGGTAGTCTCAGCTATGTAAGCTCAATATTTCCCACCTGTATTCTCAAATTCCACTTAGTAGCTTTAAATTAATTATAATTATTTATTAGACACTGGAATACTGAGAATAACTTCTTTCAGACTGTTTTGTTTGCACTATTTTTGTGACTATTTTAATGAAGTGGGATGTTTTTCCTACCTCACTTTGTGAGGTTTGTATGGGTCCATTTTTGAGTACTTTAGTTGTTGACAATCAGTTGTCTCAGTTAATTTTCTGCATGTTCATTTGTAAATAAAATAATTAGTATCTGTTTTTAGGGGATAGTAGACTATACAAACACTGGCAAGGAGGCTGTATTTCTGATCTTGGATTACAAAGTAAGTTTTGTTTTATGTTGGTTTTTTTTTTAAATCAGTATTTAAGTTACATATTTGTTTTTCAATTTAAAAATGTTTAATAGGTCATGCCAGTGGTTAGAAAATCTATAAGAATTTTAGGGCAACTTTTCTATACTATGGCTATGTTAAACAATCTGAACATGAGACTTTTTATCTTTCAAGTTGAATGATTTTTGTCATGTTTCAAACCACTAGGTCGGTTGAGACACATATTTGTAATACTTTAATTTTTTTAAAGTGCGTTTTAGAAACAAGTTGTTTGAAAACCAACTAGAAATTATTGATAGCCTAAACTCTAAATATTAGAATATTTGCGAGATCAAGAAGATGGAGTGCAGTGTTAAATTGTTAACAGTGCTAATAAAATCATAATGAGTCACCAGATTGGTAACAGTTTTCCATTGCCAAGGTGGTCATGTTGATAACATAAGACATAAATTTTACTATTATCTGTGTTGTGTACCTAATGGGTCTATCATATTGGCATGGAACATACTAGGAAATACTACTCATAGAGTCGACCAGTGTGCACTTAAACTATATTAGACTTTTGGCAGTGCCAGAAATTTGTGTGGTGATCCCAAACCATTAGAATTAGAGGAGTCGTCATCACTCAGCCTTCCCTGCCCGTGTGGGCACACTCCTTCTCAGCCTGACCACACAGCCAGAAAATTGTGGTAACTTCAATTTCTTCAGTATGTTTATAGTTTTAGCCATTAGTCACATGAGAAATATATATGAGAGCAAACAGTTCAGGATAGAAGTTCGCAGAAAGATGTGAAATAACTGGCAGCATAGGACAGAAATCTAGGTTCTGTGTTTTGCTTCTGGATTTTGAGAAAATGTTTACAAATTAAGGCACATTCAGATGTCTGCTATTATCTTTAATATAGATTTTACCCAAAAAATTAGAATTAGATATAGCTTAAAGTATCACTGAGTCTTTTTTTAATAATTGTGTATCTGGAGGCAGGCTTAATAAAGAAATTCTTTTATTTTCAAAGAGAAAGGAACTTAATTGGACAATCCATCCCCAACTACAGAATTGATATCAGTCTGGTTTGCTGTATTTGAGTGTCAGCAGCTCAGTGTTATTTATGTATGAGGAAATTCTTTACATCTTCATTGGTTACAAAATTTACCAAAGAAAATGTATCAATCAAATATAATTTTTAAAGTACCCAACTGTTAAGGAATGAGGCTCCTTTAACATAAAGGATTGTTTTCTAGACCTAAGGGAAATGAGTATCAAAAGATTGATTAGAAACATAGATATATAGTACCTACAAGATTCCATGTGAGGTTTTCTTATCCTGTCAGCAAAATGCCAACATTTCACTTCCAGCAAAATACCAGTTAAAGGTTAAGTCCAAAAATTATTCCTTATGGCACATTTTCATGTCTCCTTAACTCAAATTGAGGATTCTGTTCATCAGTATTGAATAAAAAATGAGGGAAATTCTTAAAATTTGTATATTGTATGATATTGTGGCTTTTTCAAAATAAAAGGGGAAAATGATGGAAATAGACATTTTTAAATGGGCAATGGCAATTTCTAATAAGTATGATATTGGCTAAAATGGTATTTTACATAATTTATGTACATGATCATTCTGAGTGTTTTTTTCTTTGCAGAAAAACATGATTGGGTTAAGAAAAGCTGAAATACTCATTTTTTTTAATGTATAGACCAATAAGAACTAAAGGATTTACATAAACTATTAAATAATGATTTTTTTTTGAAAACTTTAAATGTAATTGTATGTTAACTGATGTTCCAAACAGGTTCTATGTATTATTTTTTTTGTATCAGGTGGTAGTTAAAAATTAGTGAATGTCTTGGTCAGGTATCTTGGAAAGAGAACATTGGCTTTCTAACAATTACTAATGTAGATTTTGGGGCTTTTTAAAGTTTTATCATCCCCACTGATTTGAGAGAGATGCTCAGTGCTCTGTATGTTCTTTTAAAATATTTGTAATAAGTTCATCAACTGCTTAACAGTAAGTCTTTCTGATTCTTATTCTAAAAATTCTGTGGGCTTTAATTCAGTTTAACTGGTTAAGTGAAACAGTTTTTATGGTGCAAAGATTATTTTCCCACTATTTTTCTCATAATAATTTGGCTCTTCTGAGCTACAGTTTCTGAAGAGTTTTTACTACTTTAGCATTATATAGTCTGATCTCTATCACAATCGACAAACAGAAAATATCCCACTTTCCTGTGTTTGCTTCATAAAAGGATATGGAATGTATAGATCAGCTCTTTTTTTTTTTTTCTTATCAGCATCAACCTATAACTTGGTATAAACTTCTCAAGTATTCAGAGAAGAGTGGTGGTAAAAATTTAAATAAGATAGGCATGAAGAAAATATGATCTCTTTTGATTGTGTCCTTTCAACCTAGGACTAGTGAAGACTTTCACTTTTTCAGAGCTGAAGAAAAATACGCACATTTAAGATCATATTTATTGGTGCATGTAAGCCATTATCTTAATTGTCTTACAGAACTGGTTAATGCTGTTGATTGTTGAAATGTGAAATGTAGTCACTGTTGACCTTGTAAATATCTGCCAGAGATGAAAAAATATTTTAAGTTATTGTAAATAAAGATGTATAAATTCATTATAAGTCTGCAATGCAGAAACATATCTAAGATGTTAAATATTGTGTTTCTTGAGAGATGTGTAATTTTTCCCTAGATGTATCTAGTTACATTAAGAATGTAAATTTTCTTTTGTACAGTATAAAAATACAGCTTTATTTGGCTTTTGACTGGATTCTCCTGAATTAATCTCTTACCTAAATTACATTCCTTAAAATGATCCTTCATTGCATTTTTTCAAAGCATTCCATTTTATTTATGCATGTCTGAACTTTTTATTTAAATGACACTATTAAATTAAGGCAATTTATAAGATGAATTAAGGCAATATATAAAGTTACATATGGCACCATAAAATATGAGCATGAAGGCAGGAGAGAAATTAATACAAAAAATATGTGCCATACGTTTCTGTATGTTATTGTTGAGATACAAACATATCTCTGAACTTTAAAGCAGCCAAATGCAAAGAGAGAAGATGATTTACGTGATTTTCAGATACCTTTAAGATAAATCAGTTTGTCAGGTGAGGCACAACTGTTTCTAGTACTAGATGTTAGGAAATTTTCTTTCTTGGGTCCTCGTAAAGAGGAGCCATCATTATTACAGTACCATTTACACTGTCATCAACAATGTATGAAAGTGCCCGTTTCCTCACACTCTTAGAAGCATTACTTCTCTAATCATAAAGTTTTTGGTCTTTCTCTCATTGTGTTTTCTAAAGCTATACTTTAGTCTACCCTTGGGACATAGGTTTAATGAAGGGCTGAGCTCAAGGCCCTGTTTTCTTTTCCTGTTACATGCATTGCTAGCAAAATCTCTTCTGTGCCTTTTTTCCTTATGGCTATTATTCCTTACTTATGGATCAAAGCTTTGTTCTCCCTTTTATTTTAGATTGAAGCAATACAAAGCACATTTTTTTTCATATCCTGTTTAGTATGCCTTAATCCAAAATTTCTGATAATAGATTAGTAGTTCCAGAAGAGAATGACTTAATACAACTCATTAAGCCTGTTTTCTTTCCTCCTTGACTCGGTATCTATGTTAGTCAGGAAAGATGAGATTCACCAGTTGACAGTTTTAATTTTTTCCTTTTATTAAGAATGTAGTACTTGTTCGTTTTGAAAACCTTAGAAAATACAGAGGGGCCGGCACAGTGGTACAGTGGTTAAGTTTGGTGCTCTGCTTCGGCGGCCCAGGGTTCGCAGGTTTGGATCTGGGGTGCGGACCTAGCACTGGTCATCTAACCATGCTGTGGCGCCATCCCACATTAACTCGAGGAAGGTTGGAGCAGGTGACATCAGCGTCATGGCAGAGTGAGCTTGCCCGGGACTCTCTCCCCTCCAACATACAACAAAAAGGAGTAACCATAGTCAAACAAGAAATATCCTTAATAGCACAGGAATCCTTGGAGACTCACAGCAGCCAAACGACGGAGGGTGGAGAGGCTGGAGCCCACCTCGGAGGAGCTGGAACAGGGTAAGAGAGAACTTCATTCCCTCCCCTAAAGACTGGGATCACTGCTGTGGGAGGCTCTGTGAGGGAAGGAGTGGGGGGGGGGGGGGTCGCGCATCCGCAGGATCACCCAGGACTCCCTAGTGCCCTTGCAGCCCAGAAGGAAGCCCTCTAATGGGGTGAAAGCTTTCGTGTGGGGTGACCTCATCAAGCCAATACCCCAGAAGACCAGATAGCAAGAGCTGATCGGAAAAACTCAGGTCGGCACAGAAGAGAAAGCTCCCCCTCCCCACCAACCCACGCTGTGCCATGCCATCTCAGCTGAAGGCGGAGGGCTCAGAATATGTGGCTCTTGACCCACATCTAGTGGCGATAGGCTGTAACTGCAACTGAATAATATCACAATGGGGAAAAAATCATACTTCCAGCATCCAGCAATTCATTAAGTCCCCAGACCAGAGGGAAAACAATAAATAGCCAGAATTATGTTCTGAAGACTCAGAAATAAGTAAACTAAACGACAATGAATTCAGAATAGCTATCGTCAAAAAACTCAATGAGGTAAAAGAAAATATACAGAAACAATTCAATGAGTTCTGGAGCTACTTCACGAAAGAGATTGAAACTATAAAGAAGAATCAATCAGAAATACTAGAGATGAAAAACAATGGAAGAGAGAAAACAAAATATGGATTCTCTGAGTGTTTCTGTGGACACCATAGAGGAGCGAATCAGCATAATTGAAGATAGACATGTTGAATGGCTCCAGACAGAGGAGGAGAGAGAACCAAGACTAAAAAGAAATGAAGATAATCTCCAAGAAATAGCTAACGCAATGAGGAAATGCAACATAAGAATTATAGGTATCCAAGAAGGTGAAAAGAAGGAGAATGGAGCAGAAAGCATGCTCAAAGAAATAATATCAGAAAACTTCCCAAATCTAGCGAATCAGAGAGAAATGTGTGTGGAGGAAGCTTTCAGATCTCCTAGATTTGTCAATGTAAAAAGATCTACTGCAAGGCATATAGTAGTAAAAATGGCAAAAATGAATGACAAAGAAAGAATACTCAAGGCAGTAAGGTAGAAGAAAATAACCTACAAAGGAACACCGTCAGACTTTCAGTGGATTTCTCTGCAGAAACCTTATAAGCTAGGAGAGACTGGGACAACATATTCAAAAAAAAATTTTTTTTTTAAAGATTGGCACCTGGGCTAACAACCGTTGCCATTCTTTTTTTTTTTTTCTGCTTTATCTCCCCAAACCCCCCCGTACACACTTGAATATCTTAGTTGCATGTCCTTCTAGTTGTGGGATGTGGGACACCGCCTCAACGTGGCCTGACGAGCGGTGCCATGTCCACGCCCAGGATCCAAACCCTGGGCCGCCGCAGCAGAGCATGCGAACTTAACCACTCGGCCACGGAGCCGGCCCCTCAAAATTTTAAAAGATAAAACTCTTCAGCCAAGAATACTCTATCCAGCAAAAATATCCTTCAGATATGAGGGAGAAATTAAATCTTTCCCAGACTAACAAAAGCTAAGGGACTTCGTAGCCACGAGACCCCCCACCCCCACAAGAAATCCTCAAGAAGGCCCTCACACCTGAAAAAAGAAAAAAAAGGAGAAAGAGGTCACAAAACACAGAGTAAGGAGACAAATAGAATCACAATAGGATAGCAAATATTCAACTATAGCATTAGGGTAAAGGGAAGGACAACACCAAAAACAAAGACAATCTTGTCACTTTAACTACAAACTGACAACACAACTTGGAATAAGATATGAAAATAATAGGAGGGGAGGAGGAAAGGGACGGAATCAGTTTAGACTAAGGAAACAGGAGGCCATCAGAAAATGGACTATGTTATGCACGAGATTCTGAATACAAACTTCAGGGTAGCCACTAAACTAAAAAGCAGAAGAGAGACAAAAAATAAATAAGGAAAAATCTAAGAAACACAGCATAAGAAACGGCAGAAGTCAATGGGTAGACCAAAACACAGGACAAGAAACAAAGGAAAAGCGGGAAAACCAGAAAACGAGTGACAGAATGACAGCATTAAGCCTTCATACATCAATAATCACCCTCAATGTAAATGGATTGAACTCTCCAATAAAAACACACAGAGTGTCAAGATGGATTAAAGAACAAGATCCAACAATTTGTTGCCTCCAGGAAGCACAACTCAGCTCCAATAACAAATACAGACTCAGAGTGAAGGGGTGGAAGATGATACTCCAAGCTAACGGCAAACAAAAGAAAGCAGGTGTCGCAATACTTATATCAGACAAAGTAGACTTCAAGATAAGGCAGGTAAAGAGAGACAAAGAGGGGCAGTATATAGTGATCAAAGGGACACTCCATCATGAAGAAATAATGCTTATAAATATCTATGCACCCAACACAGGAGCATCAAAGTTCATAAAGCAACCATTAACAAACCTAAAAGAAGATATCAAAAGTAACACAATAATAGTAGGGGACCTCAACACCCCGCTCACATCATTGGACAGATCATCCAGACAGAAAATCAACAAGGAAACAGTGGAATTAAATAAAAAGCTGAAACAGTTGGACTTAATAGACATATAAAGAACACGCCATCCAAAAACAGGAGAATACACATTTTTCTCAAGTGCGCACGGAACATTCTCAAGGATATACCATATGTTGGGAAACAAGGCAAGCCTCTATAAATTTTTAAAAATTGAAATAATAACAAGCATCTTCTCCAATCATGATCCTATAAAGCTAGAAATTAATTAAAAGAAAAAAGCTGAGAAAGGGACAAAGATGTGGAAACTAAACAATGTGCTATTGAACAAGCAATGGAACATTGAAGAAATTGAAGAAATCAAAAAATATCTAGAGACAAATGAAGACGATAACATGCCAACCCAACTTATAAGGGATACAGCAAAAGCTGTATTAAGAGGGAAATTCATCGCAATACAGGCACACCTTAACAAACAAGAAAAATCCCAAATAAGCAATCTCAAATTACACCTAACTCAATCAGAGAAAGAAGAACAAACAAAGCCCACAGTCAGCAGAAGGAGAGAAATAATAAAAATCAGAGCAGAAATAAATGCTATTGAAACAAAAAAGGCAGTAGAAAGGATCAATGAAACACAGAACTGGTTCTTTGAGAAGATAAGTAAAATTGACAACCCCCTAGCCAGATTTACAAAGAAAAAAGAGAGAGCTCAGATAAACAAAATCAGAAATGAAAAAGGAGAAATAACAACAGACTCCACAGAAATACAATGGATTATAAGAGAATACTATGAAAAACTATATGCCAACAAAATGTAACCTAGAGGAAATGGATAAATTCTTAGACTCTTACACTCTCCCAAAGCTAAATCAAGAAGAAGCAGACAATCTGAAGAGACCAGTCTCAAGGAAAGAGATTGAAACAGCAATCAAAAGCATCCCAAAGAATAAAACTCCAGGACCAGAAGGCTTTCCTGGGGAATTCTACCAAACTTTCAGAGAATATTTAATACCTATCCTTCTCAAGCTATTCCAAAAAATTAGGGAGGATGGAAGACTTCCTAACACATTCTACGAGGCCAACATCAACCTGATACCAAAGCCTGACAAGTACAGCATGTAAAAGGAGAACTACAGGCCAATATCGCTGGTGAACATAGATGCAAAAATTCTCAACAAAATTTTGGCAACCCAAATTCAGCAATACATCAGAAGGAT